CTCCTTGCAGCCCTGTCTTGTCCCCCCTGCTCAGTCTCTGTCTCTGATTCATATCCCTAGGGCTGGGGGACTCTCCACTTCCCCACTGAGTGCTGGGAGAGAAGGGGGGAGGCTTTGAAATGCACTCCTGTGAATAAGCCCTTCTTTCGAGTTGCCCATCAGTGCCGTGCGAGCCCCGTGGAACTGGGAAGGGTCCCCGTGAAAAGGCTGCAGAGTGTGTTTGAGGCAGATAAGTCCCTGCCTTTGAAGTGTGGCAGGCGGGCGAAGGCGCCCTCCTCTTGTAGCTGCTGCCAGCCGCTGTGAATTAATCACAGCCCTGTACAGATAAGAGTACAAAGCCTGGGTGAGCACTTCTGCCCAGAGGAGGGGTCTGCGGGGGCCGCTTGGGACCCAGGATGGGGACTTGCAAGCCTGGAGGGAGGGAGATGGAGGGCTGGGCTGGGAGAGCCCCATGGGGGCACCGGCTGTGGGGTGGTGAAGAGCTTCCTCTTCCTGGAGGTGGGCTGGGGGGAATCTCTTCTGTGGTGAGACCGATCCCTTGGGGACCCCTCTGCCAGTGTCCCCAGGCATGTGTTTTTGGTCCTGCTGGGAGCTGGTGGCCCACACCAGCATCAGCCAGACCCCTGCCAGTGCGTGTTTAATCCAAAAGCAACCTTTGCATGTCTGCAGCTGCCTTCTCCCTCCAGCTGTGTTTCCTTCCTCCCTGCCTGGCATCCCTGGCTGTAAAGCCCCATCCTCCATGGCAATTCTGCTCTGGACCCACTGCCAGCTCTGGGTGGCTGCCAGGTCACGGCTGCTGCCCTTTGTTCATCTCATCGCCTGTCTTTCCAGAAGGCAGGCCTAGGGAGAGGCTCCTCTCTGCAATGTGCCCGTTGCTGGTGGTCATAAGGTTGTTGAGAGCTTTTCCCCTTCATGGTTTGGGGAGCAGTTATGGCAGTGGGGATGTGCCTTCTCACCTGGACAAGCCTGGAGGGTGTCTTGCCCAGGGGAAAAAACCTGCTGGGTTTAGGTCCAATGGAAGGAGCATTGTCTCTTCCTTCCCAGGGTTTTTCCTTCCTCTTGCTGTTTGTGTGGGTTTTGGCTCCCAGCCTTCAGGTACAGCAGCTCTTCACCAGTGCCGGCCATGGTGGGGCCTGAGCCCTGCAGAAGCTTCTGGGTGCTCCAGCATCGTTCTCTGTAAAGGAGAGCCAAGCTTTGGAGGGAGCGCTGGGCTTCAGGCAGCAGTGGGACCTACTGGTGCAGTTGTCTGGCTGTGACTCTGCACCACAGTGTGCTTCTTAGTGAGGTGATGTGCTGTCATCCTTCCTCAAAACCCATATGGGATGGAATCTCCATTCTCCAGCCAAGACCAGACCATCCCCAGGAACCCTCTCTGTGCAGTGCCTTGTTACACTGGGGTGCCCAGAGGTCGAAGCATTACATGCCATCCTTATCCTCATCCTCATCATTCCTTCATTCTTTTACTGGGCTTCTTCACAGCTGGCCTGGGAGGCAAGTGACCTCTTGGGTGAGATGCTGTTGTATCTCCCGGCCTTGTGCTACCTCCACCAGCTTGCTTGGCTTCTGGGGGATCAGGTTGGAAACCTTTACCTCTTCAGAGTGAAGTTGTGCTGGGTGCTTGCCCTGAGGGGTGATGAGCTCCTCACTTGGGTGGGGAGAGTGTGTGTGTGGACCTCTGGCAGAGCAGCCTCTAGTCTTGCTTTGAGATGATTCACCCCCACCCCAATATTCTCCGTTTTCTTTAATGAGCCAGCAGCCCAACAAATCAACCCTCCTGCTCCTCCACCTTGGCATAGCCCCAGGGTCCACCAGACCCCTGGGGTTCCTGCCAACCCCTGGGCAGGAGACAGCCCTGCCCAGCTGCTGCCTGAAGCAGCCTGAGGCAGGCAGGATTGAGGGCAGGAATCCTGAGCGAGAAATTAGTGCAAGTAATTATTAGTATTGGGTAATTATATCAGCCTCAGGATGAGGAGAAAGGTTAATGGGTTTATTTATTTATTTATTTTAAATAAATGCCTTTTCCCCTGGGTGGGAAGGCAGGCAGGGTGGGCAGGAAGGAATGTGTTTCCAAGGGGGGCTGCTCTGATTAAACTGTATCCTCTTCCCCTTCCCCTGGCCCCAGCTACCCTGCGGGTGTGGGGAGAGGGGGGGAAGTTGTCCCTCCCCGCAGTGTGTAAGAGACTGGATGGGAAACCCCTTGGGCATCCCTTGCACGGCTCTTTCCACATTATAGTCCAAACAGTCCATCATCTTCTTACCACCTGGGATGGGCAGGTTCCCACCAGGCTAATTCTGTTGAAAAGGCCCTGATGCCTGGTTCCCACCTCTGCCTGTACAGCAGTGTTGTGGACAGTCAGGTCCTCCTGGTATGGGATGACAATGAGATCTAACTGCCAGTCATGTCCTGGTGCTGGGGAGGAGCAGCAGGATGGGTTTGCCTAGTACAGGCTAACTCAAAAACTCCCTTGTGCCCTGCCTCTGGCTAACCAGGAAACAAATTTGATGATGGCCAGGTCTTCCAAATTTCATTTTCCTGAATCCCAAACCTGTCTCTAGAGCACCCTTAGCAGGAGGAGAGGCTCTGGAGAAGTGGATTCCCGTGTGTGGGCATATGGGGTGGTCCCATGCCCCTCACCAAAACACCCTGATGTGTGCAGGCTGGGCTCCAGCCCTGTATGACTACTGTGAGTATTTTTAGGTTCTTCCTGGAGCCTCAAATTAACTGGAAGTGCTTCACGTCTGGGTGTGGTGTTTGGTGGTTTTTTTTTTTTAATACATCTCTTTCCCAGCACTGCACAGTGCAATAATGTAATGGGGAAATTACCCCGCTAGTTAAAAATTACTGCCAGCTCGACATCCAGCCATAGATCTATTTTAGAACCAGGGAAAAACTATATTGATTATTCTGCGCTGCAACTGCGGCCCATAAAAAGGTTGGAAAGGTGCGTTTGTCACGTTGCTGTAGCCAGGGGAGGAGATGATGCCTTGCTACTGGGAGTGGGGCTGCTCCCCGTTACCCTTCTCCGGAGAACTGGCTCAGACAGGACTTTGTAGGGCAGAAGCTGAGAGCCAGGAGGGGAGTGACATGTGGGGGGACTTGGGCGGGGACTTGGCAGCGTTGGGTCCTGGGGGTGATGCTGGGTGCTGTGGGGCAGGAGGTGCTGTCTGGCCCTGTACTGCAGGTTTTTGAGGCTTGACTTTCCCAGATTTTTGGAGTAGGAGCAAATGTGTTAAGAAAGATGCCCTTCCACTCCAAAAGGGCAAACAGAGGCTTTAGGGAAAGTTTTCGGCATCTCTGGCTTCCCCTGTGGTACCCAGGGTGCGGGTGATGGGGAGTGGAGTCTGTGTATGGGTCTGCCAAAGGTTGCTGAGAAGGCAGGCAAGTACCAGGACCCCTGTGGATTATGGAGAAGGCTCTTCAGTCCTGTGACAGGACACACAGGGGGTTTTTGGTTGTGCCGTGGGCTCCCAAGAGTTACATCTGGCCCTGCAAGCCCTGTCCTCATGTCCCCTGGGGAGAGAGTGGCCCCTTTGCTCACTGCTGCACAGGACTCGTTGCTCTCTGGTTGCTCAGGGGTCTCTTTCTTAATTAAATACATTTGTTTTGTAAAACTGCCTAAAAATAATCCGGGGCTGGTGCATGCAGGAGGCTGGCGGTGAATCAAAGGCGCCGCTCTAATTAAACGGGCCCCAGTTTGTTTGTGAGCTGCATACATTTCCATGCTAATCAGCTGCTCACCGGGATCCTGCTTTCCTGGCCCTGTATCCTCCTGATTGGGAACTACACAAATGCCAGAAGGGATTTATTGCAGGAGGGGGTCAAGGAGGCAGAGGTGCTGGAGAAGCTGCCATGGGGGCACATGGCTGTGCTGGGCTGTAGGTGTGATGGTCAGGACCGGGCTGTGGGATGCATTTTGAGGGATGCTTCAAAGCAGCAGATTTGTCCCCGTGCTGTGGGGGGATCCTGAGTCCTGTGGCTGCAGGTGCTGAACCTGCTCCTGGTGTGCCAGCAGCACTATGGAGCTGATTCCAGGAAGCATTTGTTCCATCTTGGCTGGACATGCTGCTTCTCTCCCTGTCTCTGGGTTTTTGGCAGAATGGGCTGCTGGTGTGACCCCCATCCCATCCTATCCCATCCCATGGGAGTAGACCTGACCCACTGAGCCATTTCTCTGGCACTCTCTCCCCCTGGAGGCTGCCCTGTGCTGAGGATCTCCCCAGTCTGTGGAGATGGTGAGGGCTGGCATTGACAGGAGGTGTCTCACACTCAGGGATGTGGCAGTCAGGTCATGGCAAGCAGCACAGCTGAGTTTAGCTCCTGCTGGGCTGGTGCCTCCAGCCCCGTGGTGCCTCGTGATGTGGTTATTGCCAGTACAGCCACAAACCCCTCTACTTAGGAAGAGCTTTAAGGTAATTGTGAGCTGCGAGGGGATTAAAGCCTTTGCCACGTTCCTGCTCAGGGAACAAAGGCACTTTCTGAACCTCTGTTGACCCCCAGCTTCCTTGAGACCCTCTTGACTTCCCCAGTCACGACCCCAAGTGTTTCCTCTGATGGATGGGGAGACGGGAGCTCTGTCTGTGTGTGCCATGGCATCCTGCCTGGCCAGGGCTCTGTGTGGTGCAGTGTGTGAGCTACTTAGGGTATTGCTGTGGGAAGACAGGGTTTGCTGCTTTGCTGGGGGCTCATCCATGCCACACTACAAGTTGAAGGGGCTTTGGGACTGAGTGGCAGCGGGGGAAGTGGGGCAGTGCAGGGGAGGGCTGTGGATATGGCTTCCTCCACTGCAGAGGGGTGCCACTGTCAGCAAAAAAGGAAAGAATACGTTGCAGTTTGCCCTTCAGGAAAGGGCTGGGATGTTTGCAGTGTGACTGCTGCTTTGCTATGCTGTGGTGGCCATGGCATGGTCATGCTGGTGTAGGATGGAGGAGTGGCATGTTCCCCTTCCTGCTTCCCGGGTTGTGTGTGAGACCCTGCTCACCTCCCCTTGCTCTCCCCACAGATCCTGGTGGACTTGACAGCTGAGAGGAAGCGCCAAGCGCTGCAGTACGAGAATGTCGTGGCCCACGAGGGCAGCTCCATCTTGCGAGACCTTGTGCTGAGCCCTGACCGCCAGCACATCTATGCCATGACTGAGAAACAGGTAAGGGGAGGGCACAGCAGCCCCTCTGCTCTCCTGACTTGGCAGCCCATGTTGTAGTCCCAGCCCACAGCCTTGTGCCCTGGGAAGCCTTCTGGGCAGCTCACCAGAGCGGTCTGGCCTTTGCTTCCTGGGATCAGGGCTGCCTGGGGACTCCTGTCCCAGGGAACAGCAGCAGCTCCTCCTGGCTCCTCTCTGCAAAACCACTCCCCTGAGGCACTGACTCTGTGGTCCTGCCTCCTCCCCTCCATGGAGCTGCATGGGTGCAGCTGCCTGGTGCTGCTGGCCCCTCATGGCAGGTGAGCAGGCAGCTCCCTGCCTCCTGCACCCCCTCCCCTTCTCCTCCCCTCTCCTTAATAAAACCTGCTTTCTTTCCTACTATGGCTTGGTGTTATCAGAGTGCTGGTGGAAAGTAATTAAATGAACAGTTGTAACAGAGCTCGAAGGGCTTGGTGAATGAGAGGATTTTAATCAAATCTAGAGGAGCAATTAATAAAGGACCGGTAACCCTTTTGGAGCAGGGATGTGGCAGCTGTGGGGTGCCTGGCCGGCACCAGGAGCAAAGATGCTGTGGTGGAAGGAGCTTGCTGGGGATAAAACCCTCCTTGGCCTTCAAATGTTCTGTCTGGGCCTGGTAGAGGAGCAGGTGATGGTGGGGGGGTCAGCCTGCTCCCTGCTGCTGCTTCCTGTCTAACAGGCCAGGGTGAGTCTGTGCTGGGTCTGTCTCCTGCAGGGTCTGGGCACAACAGGGAAAGACACAGCCCATCCTCATCACTCCTTGCCTGTTCCTGCAGGTGACGCGGGTGCCGGTGGAGAGCTGTGAGCAGTACGAGAGCTGCGAGCTGTGCCTGGGCTCCCGGGACCCCCACTGTGGCTGGGGTGTCCTCCACAACGTGTAAGTACCATAGGATCAACCCTGGGGCCACACCAGGGATCCACGACTGGCAAACCATGTCTGTACACACCACAGGTCTCCCTGGGGACATCCCTCCCAGGCTTTGGTCCCAAAATGCAGGGGGATGGAGTGGTCTGAGAGGTCTGCCATCCCTTCCCTTGGTGCCTGTGCTGTGCTCATGAGCACCCATGTGTGCTGAAGTTGCTGGCAGGGCCCCACTGATCCTGCCCTCGAGCTCCTGGGTTCAGTGTCCTTGTGCCAATAGGAAAAACTGTTACGAAAAACCCCAGAAGTGTCCCCAGTGCTGTCACTGTGGGAAAGCAGAGCTCCTGTACAGGTCTCGGGCACCTAGCTAGGCTGGGCATCACCTCCATACCAAAGGTTCTGTTTGCTGTGGTGTCAGCCCTGAGCCGTGCAAGACCCTGGAGGATTCTCCTCCTTACTGTGGTGGTTTCGTCCTCTTCCAGGTGCTCGCGCAAGGACCGGTGCGAGCGGGCGGACGAGCCCCAGCGCTTCGCCTCCGACCTGCAGCAGTGTGTCCAGCTCACTGTCCAGCCAAAGAACATCTCGGTCACCATGTCCGAGGTCCCGGTAAGTCACCTCTGCTGCTCATGCATCTCCCCCCAAGCCACCTCCTGACCCTCTGGAAGGAGTGGCTGGGGAGGCAGCAATTAAAACCAAGTAACGAGTATATGACAAATAGGGAGAAAGGGGAAGAGAGGTCTGAGATAAATAAAACATAGCAAAGTGCAGGGCATTGACAAGGGCTGGCCTATTGATGGAGATAATAAACCAGTTGATGATTATTCAGAAAAGACATAACCGAGCAATAAATATTTCTCCACAATATAAACAACATCAAAGGTGCTGTTTGCAGGCCAGCAATCCATCTGGCTCAATAGGCTGTCTCTGACCCTGGCCTGCAGTAGATATTTTGGGATGAGCCTTCTATGCACAACTTGCTGCACAACTCTGTGCAGACAAAAAGGATGATGGACTTCCCTGAAGTATTTTCCGGGCCATTAGCACCAGGAAGAGAACATGAAACAGTGTATACTAGCAATAAAGTTTTGAAAACTGCCAGGTTTGGATATCTGGCACTTGGGATTCCTAAAACAGTTGGCCGGGGAGCTCTGTGGCTTGTGAATGTTTTTTAAGAATATGACTTTGTAATAAATAAGTGAATGTTGAGAAAAGCCCAGGAAACAGAAAAGGTGCTCTTTTTTTTTTGCCCACATGCAGAAGGGGCCAAATGGTCTGAGAGTTGCTTAGTTTGACATCAGGTTTAGAAGAGCTAAAGGAAAAAAAAAACTGGTGCAGGATACAACAGATAAAGAATTAAGGATGGGAATATAATTAATGCCAGTCAACATGGTTTTATGTCAAACAAACCACATTTTGTTCTTTGATGAGATTATGACTTGAATTAGAAGGGGAAACTGCAGGGATGTGATGTCTTTAGGTTTCTACCAGGCATCTGACTTCATACAACACAATGTTCTGATTACAAATTTGCATTATACAATATTGATAAAGCGCGTGTTAAATGGATTAAGAACTGGCTCTGTGACAGATCTCAAAAAGTCCTCATCAGAGGGGAATTGTCTCCGGATGGGAACAGTTTGGAAAGCACTTCTGCAGGGGCTAGTGTTCATTGGTAACATGGAAATAAATGTGAGATGGCTGCAATGGGACCTGCTGGGATGTCAAGGCTGTCACTGGGATGGGACTGGGTGAGATTCCTCTGCAGAGCAGTCGGGTTTCAGTGAGGCTGGTTTGGCTGAGAAATTGGAGTTTGAGCCTAGTTAAACTTGGAGTGAGAAGACAGGCATTTGCCCAGCGTCCTGGGAAGTGGTGCCAGGGCTGAGCTCTCACTGCGGGGCTCTCAGTACTCTCTGGGTGAAGCCAGGAGCTGGGTAGGTTTTTCACCTCTCCGGTGATTATCTACCTGACTAATGTCAGGATGCTTCTCAGAGGTCTGCTGTGGTCTGCACAGGGATGCTGCACTCAGGCTGGGGTCCAGCTTTGAAAGTGGGAGGCTGTAAACATCACACAAATGAGCTGAAGGCTGGAGAAAACGCCTTGCAGTGAGAGACTTCCAGAGCTCAATCTGCTTAGCTTATCAAAAAGAAGATTAAGAGGTGACTTGATTACAGAGTATAAGTGCCTTTACAAGGAGCAAATATCAGGGACTAAAGGGCTTTTTAATCTATCAAGGAAAGGCATAACAAGAACTAATGGCTGGAAGCTGTGAAAAATTCAAATTAGAAGTAAGGCAAGCGTTTTGTAAAGTGAGAACTGCTGACCCTGGGAACGACTTTGTGAGGGAAGAGGTGGATTCCTCCCCTCCTCAGCTCTGCCAGATTGGATGCCTTTCCGTGAAATACTCTAGCTGCATATTCTGCTTGGTCTCTGTAGAGGTGAGGCATAATGGCTTGTGGTAGTGAGAGGGCAGAGGATGGGAGGCTGAGAGTCATTACTTTTTTTAAACTTGTTTAAATCCTCTCTCCTTGCATGAGCAGGGAGGTCTGTGGATGGGGCTCACTGGCAAAAGCCCAGAATAGGTCTCCCCGCCACGTGTGGGTAGTGCAAAAGGGATTACACCCCTGGTCTCTTTGTTTTGGCAGTAGGTTGTCTGCTGCTCTATGTAACAGATGTGAAGGAGTTGTCTTTGCTAGTTTTCTGCATTAATGCTCTTACCTCTCCTCCCCAGCTGGTTCTTCAGGCCTGGAATGTCCCAGATCTCTCGGCAGGAGTCAACTGCTCCTTTGAAGACTTCACTGAGTCTGAGAGCCGCATTGAAGATGGAAAGATCTACTGCAGCTCTCCCTCTGCCAAGGATGTCATCCCTATCACCAGGGGCCGTGGTGAGCTTGTACCCTGGGTTGGGAAGAAAGCCTGAGACAAACCTTGTCCGCCTTATTGCCCCACATTGAAATGTGGAGGAGGATAGTCCTCCCATGGTGATGGGGTCTAGAACTTTCTTCTGACCCCAGAACTGTTCAGCTCCCTTTTGGTACCACCAATACAACCCAAAGCATCAGCCTCCATGCCAACAGGCTGCAGTTAGCTGAAGGGTCTCAGAGCTGTACTAGGGTTCTGTTGGCCCCTTAGGTGTCTGGGTTGGTGTGGGTGAACACTTTCTATTGCCCGGTCTGGGGGATTTTGTTAGTGGGCTGGGATGGCTGGTCATGCCCGACTCCCTCCACCCCAGCGCAAGCCTTGGACTGAATGCTGAACCAGGTACTGTGTCCTTTCTGATGCCTTTTTCTGCTTGGGTCTCTCCCAGGGGACAAGCGAGTGGTGAAGCTCTACCTGAAATCTAAGGAGACGGGGAAGAAGTTTGCCTCTGTGGATTTTGTTTTCTACAACTGCAGTGTCCATCAGTCGTAAGTGACCTGGGCTTTGCGAGTAGGCTCTGGGAACAGATTGGTGGGGCAGTGTGAGACTGGGAGAGAGAGATCTCAGCTTTGTGGGTGCTGGTGTTGCAAGAGGTAAGGGCAGTCAAGTGTAGTGTTTGCAGTGAGAAATCTCTTCCTTTTGCCCTTGAAAACTGGGACAGTGACCAGAGCAGCCACAGCTGGTTTTAGCGTGTGGGAACATGTAGCATCAGGGCAGAATCTCACTTAAAGACAGGGCTTTGGGTTTGGCAAAGCTTTGGAAGAAAAGCGAGATTACTGCATTGCAGACTGTAATAATCCATGTGACTGAAAATGCCAAGCATCTTGTTGTTCCTAGAAACAGGTAATAGGAATGACTTGGCGATGCAAAAGGAGAAACCTGTGTTTTCCTTCCATGGTACCTGCTTCCCAGGCTTTCTGGAGAGCAAGCTGGAAAGTTACAGTAGCATGGGATGGATCATGCTGCATGTCCTGGGGCATTTATTCAAGAATTTCCTAACTGGAAGTAACTGAATTTGCTTTCTTGTCAGGCTGCCTTGAAATCTACTCCACATATGGGTTTTTAGGCAGTTTGAGATACGGATGTGAAAAAATAGAGGGGGTGTGGGTTATTGATGTGATGTCTAAGCAGGGTGTCCAAAGCCTCTAACAGTGAGCTCCTGATGAGGAGCTGTGGATGTCGTGTTTGAGTGGCAGGGAGAGGGGTCTGCTGTGGGAATGTTGGAGAGCATGCTGGGGTGTGTTTGGGCAAAGAATTTGGAGCTCAAGAATGCGAGCGATTTCATTACCCTGCCAGAAACCTCCCATGGATGGTGGTGCTCTGGCTGATCAGTAATTATAGATAAGCAAATGCAGAGTGATCTCTTTAGACGGCTTTTTGCAAAGTGTCTAGGCTGGCTTGGTGGGGCCCTGCTGCAGGTGGATTTTCCATTTTGATCAGGGAAAAATTAGGTGAGATGCAGGTGCCCGGGCTGGGTACCTTGCAGTGACCTCCGAGGGGGATGTGTCAGAGGAGAGCCCCAGGGGCTCATCAGCCTCCAACAGGATTGCAGTGATGCCAGGAAGGAATGGCTCCTGCAAACCTTGTGCATCACAGTCCTGGGATTTCTGCATTTCTGTCCTGTCTGCTCTTTGCATGGGGAGCAGGTCTCTGCTGCTGTGTCGGCAAGGGAGGAGAGAGTTTGCAAACTTGACTTTCTTCTTCACCTTGACTCCTGAAATGAGCTTTGTCTCCCTTCACGTCGTGTGGTTTCAATAACATTAGCTCAGCTTTGGCTCAGGCTGGCTGCATGTCATTATTTTGCAAATCAAAAAGCAGATGTGACTTTTATTTTTCTAAATGAAAGAAAGACGACTTTTAAGTACACATGGCATTGGAGTCCCTCCAATCAGGGCTCCAGCATTTTGGTCTTGGGGGAAGAGGTGTTGAGGGAACTGGCATTTTATTTTATGTGCCTGACACAGGAGGGGAAAAAAAACCCCAGCCCCCCCTACACAAACCTACAACCAAGAGCCCTGACTGATTTATTACTGCGTTGATGTTTAATTTTGGATGCATTATTTAAAAAGGCTAATTATGGATGCATTAATATTTATGGGCTCCGGTTGGAGCTGATAGAAAAGTCTATGTTCTAGGCTGGTGAGCATTATTATTATTTTCTTTAAGTCAAAAATTTTAGAGTTTGGAGGCAGTTTTAACTATGTGACCTGCAGTCTAGCCATAGCCAAAGAGCATGACAGTACCTAGGATGATGCAATACTTTTAAATACTGTTTGCAGACAGGCGTCTTTAATGGATCTCTTTGGAGTTAATAGCCTTTCAGATCCAGGTTTCATATTTTGTGGAGGAAAATCTATACGTCAGCCTGATAAATTCTGTATTAGGAACAATATGCTTTTCCATGAGGCTAATGTTTTTCCTGTGGAGTTCTCTGATAGCTCTGCATTACTTTTTATATTTGGGAGGCTTTGGTTAGGTTGGGAGCCGGACGCCTGCATGTTTAATCATTTCTCAGCTGAGGACGAAAGGTTTAGGTGAGATTTTTTTTAGATGGCAGTGGAGTGATGGGAGGATTGTAAGGCAGCTCTTCTGGGTGGCTCCAGGGAAGCCAATGCAGTTCCACAGGGGAGAGTCCCACCCTTCCTATTTTCAGCAGATGCCTGTAAAAGCACCACCAAATCTCACTGCTAAAGCCCTTTTACAGGCTGTGGGGTTGGTGTGTGCATCCCAGCTCTCTTGTTTCCTACTGCCTTGCAAAACTCTTCTTCCCTTGCATTTTCAAGGACTGCTGGAACCAGCCTGGTCCAGGGAGGGGTGGCAGAAGAGAAATGTCTAATCCCTTCTCCTATAGGGAAGGAGGGATACAGAAGAGGATGTGCTGTCTGTGTGTTTGGCTTGTGACAGGCAAGGCTGAGGTGATGCCTTCCAGGTAAAGCCCTGTTGCTGTCCTGTCTGTTATTGCAGGGCTTTATATTGTAACCTGGTGTGATGGGACTGTCCCCATTGCAGACCAGCATTGCTGGCTGCTCGGGTACATCTCCATGTGGGGTCCCTGGGAACCCTGGTCTGGAACTCACACCCTCTCTGAGGCTTCATTCCTGTCTCCAGCAGGGTCACCTGGCAAGCTTCTGTTGGTCCCAACTTGGTGTACTGCACCCTGGCAGCACTGGGGCTCCCATGGGGCTCTGGCAGGCATTTCCAGGCAGAGGCATCTTTTGGACACCTTGCTGCTGAAGGCTGGTGCCTCAGGCAGGGTTTGTTTCTGGCTGAGCTGTGAGAGAAGCATTGAAGCAGGGAGTGGAAACGTGGAGGTTGATGCAGGAAAAATACCGCGTCCCTTGCAAAGGGAGGTGTGGGTGACTGAGGGTCGCTGCCAGCCCGCGGCACAGGCACAGCTCCTGCTGACAGGCTGTGTGGTTCCTGTGGTGGAGGACAGGATGGAAACCCCATGGCAGGGATGGGGGTGGGTTCCCTTGGGGGTTTCCTAAGGGGTACCGATGAAGTGCAGGCATTTAAAGACCGCTTGGTGCCTTTGATCACCTAATGAGTCAGCCCGTGTCCAGCGCGTGCGCCAGCAGATGTTGAGGTTGTCTTTGTCAGCGCTGAACTCCCTCTTCAAAGCCTTTGTGGGGAAATGAGTCCCCTTTCAAGATAAAGACATAGCACCGGGCTCCCTGCCTGCCTCCAGCAGAGCCCGAGCTTGCTGGTGAGGTGGGCAAGTAAGGAATCCTCCTGGAAAGCCACTGAGCAATTCCAGGGAGTACCAAGATGTATTTCTTTTTACTGTTCCATGTTTGTCCTCTGGGTTCCTCTTCTGGAAACTCTGCTCCTTAAGTTCTGTCGTGGTTTGTCTTTTTTGAAGAGTGTGGCTGTGGGGAGGAGGATGGCAAGTGGAGAGAGACGGGGAAGAAGACAAAAGCCTTTGGCACGTCCTTCAATGCTGTGGGTGGGTTTTGCAGCACTGCTGGTTTTACAAGCACCAGCGTGCCCAGTGCATCATCAGACTCCCCTCCTGCATGACTAGTCATTCCATTGTGGAAGCAAAAATCCAGGTGGTGGCACAGGGGAAGAGAGAAAAATCACATGTCAGCGGGTCTGATGCCAAGAGAGCAGCCTGGAACTTCTGCTGGTGCACCCCTGTGCTCTGTCCCCTATGCAGGAGGTGGTCATGGTGGTGCCAGCCTCCTTGTTGTGCCTCGCTGCAGTGGTGGTTGTGACACTCAGGTCCATCAGCTGCAGAGTGCTGAGTTTCTCCAAGGCTGGAGACATGCCAAGCAGCTCTGACTCCTCCCAGCCAGAAAGATGTGACTTTGCCGTGGCTCCATCCCACAGGTCAGGCTTTCCCTGTAAGCCTCCATTAAGTAAATGGGATTTTAATTCATGTCCCAGGGGCTGGGAGCAGCAGGGCTGGGCCGGGAGGGCAGGGCTGGCCTGCTCTGGTGGCTGAGGCACCGGTTGCCACCCTTGGGGCAATGCTAGCCCCTGTGCTGCTGGGCTTCTCACTGCAGCCTTTCTGGCTGCCCCTACCACCGAGCTGCCTGCACAGGCCTGGCTGCTTTGCTGGCCCAGCACTGCTCATTTACAGATGCCTACAGATGCTTCCTTTTTGAAACCATGGACAGATAGCTGCAAGCAGTTGAGTGTTTCTGAGTTGGCACGGCTGAGCTGCAAGGCAGTAACCGATCCCTGTGTGTTCCTAGGCTGGAGCAGGTGGAAAATCCGGTAAGATGGCCCCAGAGACCATTCAGGGTAACCTGGTTTATGTCAGATTTGTTGTGAAGGAGGAGGGCTGGTGCAGCCTGGTTTTGTGTTTCTGTGAGGGGAGGCAGCTGAAGGTGCTTCAAGTTAATTACCTTAAAAACCAGGGCCTGATTCTGCATCCTCCGTCCAAGGAGGATGGATGTCCTGAACTACCCTGCAGTAGATCTGCTTGCCCAACCCTTACCCTGAGAGTAAGGCCCTTGGCAAAATGCAGCAGGGACGGGCAAGTGTCAGGTTGGTACAAAAGGAAGGGCAGAAATGGATTGAGGGGAGCAGGGATGGAGGAAGGTGAGAGCTGATCCCCTACCCTGCAGCTCTTCCAGCTTCAGGTCTGGGCAGGGCTGCCTGAAGGCCCTTGTAGGGGCTTCGGGGGCACCAACCATCTGTTCCTGCTGCTCTTCAGGATTTCCCCCTCTTCCTGGGGCAGAGAGATGGATATGAAACTCAAAGCACAGCCTCACCCCTGACAGCTGTTGCTCCAGATGCAGCTATGCCGGAGTTGAGTATTTGCTAAGGATGAATCCTTTTTGCCAAGAGGTCTGAGGAGCAGTTGGGGTCTTGCAGGCAGGCTGTGCTGCATGTGTGCAGATGCTGTTTCCATCAGCACTGTGTTTATCATTTCCCTTCTCAGTGGACCTCCCTTGCTCTGCTCTTGGTGCCATTCAACTTGCTTCTGTTCCTCTTCCCTGCCCTTTGCTCTGTGTCCTTCCTCCAGGAATGCACTGCTCCATGGGAGCAGCCTCAGTGTGTGCGCGCACACGCGTGTGCGATGCTTGCACCCCCGTCCCTCCTGTGTTTGCTGCTCGGGATTATTTTACCCGTGTAGATGGCAGTTTTGTTTTGTACCTTCCCCACTGCTCCTTCAGGCGCGTGGCACACCTGGGGCTGGGAGTGCAGGAAGGAGAGTGGGTGTGGAGCCAGGATCTGGTGCTGCTGACTTCCTGTGCTTCCCATCAGCTGTGCCATCACTTTGGATCAGGCATGGAGACAGCTATGACCTTGTTGTGGTGGCCAGAGGTGCCTTCTGCAGAGCTGCTTGGGCACCCAGGAAGGAGCTGGTGCCTGAAGCCACCCCTGGGTCTGGGCTTTTCCTGCAGTGATGCTTGTGATCCTGCCCCAAATCCTGGAGATGTATCCTGCTCTGAAATGCTCCTTCGCTGCCCTGTTGCCCTCTCCATGCTGCTGCTTTTCTGCAGCCATGTGAGGTGTTTCCCTAGCACAGCTGCAGCAGATTTGGGATTGGTTGTGAAAGTGGAGGGGAGCAGTGTCGGGAGGTCTTCTAGTGAGTTGGGGGCAAGTGTGGAGGCTGTGGGAAGGCTCTGGCTCTGCCCCTGGGAGACTGAAAGGTGGGCAGGGCTGCCTGCTCTTTCTGGGGGACGTTTCAGGACAGCAGCAAGCCTGGACTTGTTTGGGGAGGGGGTGTTTTGCACTCAGTGATCCTGAAATGCAGCTCTGAGGCTGGTGCCATTCTGCTTGCACGAGGACGTTAGATGGCAAGGGGGGCACTAGCAGTGGGTCTGACCCCCTTCCCCCTGCCCAGTCCGGGTTTTGTGTCCCTGGCAGGGCTGGGAATTAGGCAGATGAGGAGCAAGCTGTGGGTCTGTGTCTGCGCTGCACCCCCAGCATCAGTTTTCTGCCTGGCTGGGTTCTTGCACTCTCGGCATGCTTCAGGGAGGGGGGAGACTTCAACACATGAAGGAGGGCCTCCCTCTGATTATCAGGAGTGATGAAAGCCTCTTAGGCAAGAAGTGATGAGGGAAGAGTGCCTGACCGTGGGAAGGAGAGAGACGGCACAGATGGCATCATGCTGCTGAGCAACCTGCTCCTGTGCTGGGAACAGACAGCAGTGGCACATGGACACACTGGGGACATGGCCCTGGCTGTGCCACCCAGCCTGACCTGTGGCCAGGGAGCCCCTTTCCTCTCCTACCCTGGGTTTTGGGCAGCCTTGCAGGGAGCTGGGGTGATCAAACGGACATGCCGAAGTTGGCAAGAACGAGGCAGACTGAAAATGGGCTTTCACCCTGTTACTGGCACCTGGTCCCTGACTTGCTTGACACTTTTCAGGGTCCCAACTGAGAGGTTCTGACCCAGGCTCTAAATGCAGCAGAGGTGCTGTGGAGTGAGATGTGTGGTAGTGAGTGTTTGTATGGTGGCATTTGATGTCCTTGTGGCAGATGGAGAACCTCGGCAGAAGGGAGAGTGTGAAAACCATCTCCGAGGATGGGGCTTTAAAAATGGCTCAGTTAAGTTAAAAGCAGCTGGGAGGGTTTAAGGAGGAGGGGTACTATGCATCTCGGGGTGTGCTTTAGGTCCTTTGGCAAGTGGAGACCAGGAGACCTGCTGAGACGTGTAGTACTTAAATGGCAAAGGAGACCCTCAGGTGAGGAGGGACCCAAAACAGATGAGATTTGGCTTTGGCTCTGAAGAACTGCAGAGCAGAGCTGCAGCTCTGGGGTGCCCGGGGCAGGGCTGTGCTGGCTGCTTCACCCGACTGCTTTGAGGTGCCAGGCAAGGTGGTGGAGAGTGGAGTGAGAGCTCTTTTCGGAAACCCTGGAAGACCTGATGGCTGGAGAATCACTCCTTTAAGGAGGGCTAATTTCATGAGTGGGTTGGTGGTTGTGCCCCGGCACATGGCTTGCAACTGCTTGGACCAGGCTCCTCTTTTACATGACCTCTCTGTGGTCGCTCTACTTCCAGGAGGGTTAACCCCTGCTTTCCCTGCCCTGCTGCCTCCACATTTTAGATTTGTCTGCCTACTTGTCCCTGATTGAGCCCTTATCAGGAGGGCAGGAACCATCCTTTTGCTTTGTTTGTGTCCCCCACTCTCCCCGCCCTCTGCACCTCCCTCCATCAAAGCAACCAGAGATAGGAGGCTATGGCTCAGCTTTTAAGTTGAATCTCTGCAGCTGAAATAAAATTGCATACATTTGCATAAGGAGCATCTCAATTAGCATATTTGTGGGTAAAGCTAAAAGGGCTGTTCATTTGGAAGTGAAAATGTGAGCGAAACATGGGAATGACTTCCAGCCCCCTTTGCAAGCAGCTTAATTAAATATTTCCTTAGTGTGTGTGCATGGATTCAGGAAGCTTTTGCTGTATCTGTGAGGGTATGTGAAACCCCAGGGCGGGGAGGGAGCCCTAGGTATGCATTTGCACCCCAGTGCTGCCTGCCCCTGGTGCTACCTGTCACCATGGCTCTCTTGTGTGCTGTCCCTGCACCTCCAAAGTGACAAGGTTTTCTTTCTGATGCCAGGCCGAGTGATGCCATGTTTTCCCCATTGTTTCCCAGGGGGTAGAGGCAGAGGCAGCTGTGATTTAGGAGTAGCATGAGGCTGGGCAAGGCTGCCTGCCTCCTGCCAGAGCTGTGTTGAGAGGAAGAACCTGCCTTTGTTTAAATATAATTGCTTTGGACCAGATCCTGTTCATGCTCTCATCAGCGAGAACAGGTATGTTCTAGGGAGAAACACAGTCCTGCCTCTGCTTTTTTTTTCCCCTCTCTTTTTTTTAAAGCCAGGCTGATTATTTTTCTTGCTTTTGAGCTTGTTCCTCAGCAGCATTCCCATCTGCTCCCTGGGAGGGCAGCTTGGGCTGCACAGGACATGTCTGCTGCTGACCTGCTCCATGAAGGCTTGTTGCATTAATGAGGGACCTCACTGCTGCGCTGGGACAGTGTAGTGGGGAGGGCTCAGCCCCTTCCAGCCACACAGGGGTGAGAGCCCTGAAATCCACCTTCTGGCTGTGGGGGTCCTTGGGATTCCCCTGTGCTTGCAAACAGGGATGCCACGTGTTGTTTTTTTGAGGGGGGGGGGAATTAGCAAGTGGGCAGGCTGTTGGAGTGCTGCTTGTGGGAGTGGTTGTACAAGGGAGGGAGAAGTGTAAAGTCTCTGGGGCTAGTTTCTTTGCTAAGAGGGGTGGAGAGCAGAGCACAGGGCCCCAAGCATCCTGGGTGCCTGAGTGAATTCCACAGGAGATATGAGGAGAGGGGGACATGTGGGATTGTGCTGCACAAAGAGCCCAGAGAGGAGACTGGGGAAAGAGATGGAAATGTCTGTGGCTGGAGGGGGGTGGCCACATGCACGCACGCGCGGCCACAGAGGACTGAGGACGAGGGTGGCTGAGGGAGGGGGTCACACACAACCTTTTGTGAGCAGCTGAAAGGCGCTTCAGTCCCGAAATGTTAATCTGACCCAACCTTTCGCCAGTTATAATTTTCCTCTCAATGAACATGCATTAATCTGGCCCTTTCTCCCCTGTTCCCCCGCGGTGCAGGGCCCTTGTTCTGCCGCCTCTTGCTAAAACCGCCTTTCAGCGAACCCAAATAAAGCTCCTAAAGTCTGGAGCTCGGCCCCCGCCCAGCAGCAGGGAGGGCAGGAACTGCTTGCCAAGCTGAGGAGGGAGCATGGCTGCTGTGTCTGGGGCACAGCCAGGCCATGCTGGGAAGGCTGTTTCCCCTTACTCTGCCATGGGCAGAACCCAGGGGCCCCAGGTCTGTAGGCATCTCCCCTCCCAGCCTGCAGGTGCACAGCCCTTGCCCCACGTGTGCTGGTCCTTCCCACCCAGGGACACGGCATTGCCTAAGGATGCTGTCCTGCTGGAGCATCCTGAGAAGTGCCCCCATGGACCCAGCCCTAATGTTGCCTCTGCTTCTCTCTGTCCTCAGCTGCCTGTCCTGTGTGAACGGCTCCTTCCCCTGCCACTGGTGCAAGTACCGCCACATCTGCACCCACAACGCTGCCGACTGCTCCTTCCTGGAGGGACGTGTCAAGCTCTCTGAGGTAAGGTGACATGAGCTGGCTTCTTTCTCCTGTTGCAGTCTCCTGCCCTATAGGGAAGGGTTTAGAACAGGGAAAACCACTTTGGAAACCTTTCCCAGCACCTTGCCTGGGGTGCTGGGGCTGCCTGGGAAGCAATGAAGGAGTGGGAAGCGCTGCTGGGACTGTGTGCTGGTGGGGAGAGGCTGTGTCACTGCAGAGAGGCTGCCTGGGAAGCTGGGCACAGCCGAGAGCATTTTAGGCTGAATGAAGAGACAAACAAAGGCAGAGATGCTAAAGCATTTTCCTTTGATGTTTTTGAAGGGAGCAAGCTTGAACTGTCATTGCAGAACAGCTTGTTTTCGGAGAGAGGAAGGTTGAAATCCGTAAAACAAACCGTTTCGCTACACCTCACGCCTTCTTCATCTCAAATGCTTTGCTGAGAAACATGTTCTTTTGCTGGGGTTCATCCTGCACAGAATCCGTGTCATCCACTGGGGAAACATGTCAGTTCCATGCTTGCAGGAGGAGGTCCTGGTGTCCCCAGCCTGTGGTGGCATTGCTTGCTGCTTGGGTTGGTTCTGGAGGCCTGGCATGCAAATGCTGATTCAGGTCCTGAAGGGAGAGTTTTGGGAAGGACTTCTCTGTCCTGGAAGGGGGCTCTGGTTGAACTTGCCTGGGTTTTCAGTGGCCTGTGTGGTGGCCCAGTGGGAAGGGTCCTGCTGCTTGATGGGTGCTGCTGGGAGCAAAGTGTATGCTCTCCTCACAAAAGCAGCTCAAATGGATGTCCTCCTGGAGAAAGTGTTTGCCCAGATCATCTCTATAAACTCTGGTCTCTGAGCTCCAGCAGAGCTTGTGTCCTGCCAGCCTCCCAGGCCAGGACTGGTCCCCAGGAGCAGAGAAGAACAAGAAAGGCTTGTCTCTGCTTCATAGACCATGTGTGAAGGCAAGCAGCTGAGATGTTCCCCAAGGTCTTTGCTGTCCTGGCTGGCAGTGAGAGGAAGCCTGCCTCTGCATCTTCCCACTTGAGAGGAGCAGCATCTCTGAGTGAATATCCATCCCCTATAATTTGTGTCTTCTGAGGTCTGCCCTCATCTTTGGTGAGGAACTGTGGTCCTGTGGGTGTCCTTTTAGATCAGGGCTGTCCCCCCCTCCTCATGTCCCCCTTCTTCTGTGCTGAGAGAATGCACGGAGTCATATGCATCCCAGACGTGTCCCCCTTTGTGGCTGAGATGCCCCAATGAATTTTTCATTATCCCCTTCCTCCCCCTCTGCCTCTCTTGCCACTTGGAGAGCTCTCACAGGAGAGAGTGGGAGAGCTGGGCTATTACTCAGCCATTGCCCAGCCACCAGTAGCACCATCACTTTTGTGCAGGGATGGGATGGAGGAGCATCTGAGTTCCTGTGTACTGGGGCTGAGCATATGGGGTGGATTGACTGTGGCTGAATATCAGCTGGTGTCCAGCCATGGTCAACTCACTGAATTCCTGTGGGAAGCTGGAGCACCTGGTCCTGCTGCTTCTGCAGCCTCTCCCAGGGGAGCTGCTGTGTCTGTGGGGGAACATTTGGACTTTACAATCTGCAAAGGGAGCTGCTTAGGTCTCATACTTGGGTGCTTCAGCTTCAGGAGGGGGTGGACTTGCAGATGATGGTGGTGTCCCTGCATTGACCCGTGCTGGGCTCTTGTGATTCTTGCTCCAAGCATGAAGTTGAGTGAATTTGTTTCTCAGCCAAGGGCATCAGGAGAGCTGGAAAAGCCCAGCCTAGTACCCACCACATGAGGGGAAATTTAGTAATGTGAAAAGATCAGAAAAAGCTGTTTTCACCTAGCTTGTGCCTTAAAAAATCTGGGGAGGGATTGGGCTGTCCCAGATATCTCAGAAGCTCTTGAGGTTGCACTTCCAGCCAGCCCTGGCATTGCTTCTGCAAATGTGACACGTGGGATCCAGACCACTTGAGCCTGGTGGCTCTCGTCTGCCCAGTCCCCTTCTGAGGGCATGGAGAGGCTGCTGGGCAACTCCCTCTTCCCTGTCCAGCAAACCCAAAAGCATCTGTCTGTACCCCCAAGGGTGTTGTCTCTGGGACACATGCAGCTCTCCCACGGACCAGCTGCTTGGGAACTCATCTTGCTCCCAAGCATGGACAGGCTGTCGCTGGGCAGACCTTTTGGTCACACTGAGACCTGGATCAGTGCCTGGCTTGAGGTTTGGACAGCCTGGCTCAGCCTGTTTGCACATTGGTGTGGCCTTGAGCAGTTCCTGGTGAGGATGGTCAGATATCCTCAGACTGACCACTGCAGTGGGCTGTGTGTCAGGCTTGGGATGAGACATCCTGTCCCTGTCCCAGTCTCCAGCAGGGTGGTGTGGTGGGTGGGGAGGACTTGGTGCCAGCCCATGGCACCACTGGTCAAGTTGGTGGTAGATGTCCAGAACCGTCCTCTCTGTGGGAGGATGGCTAACTGGGAGAGTTATTTTAAGCAGGATTTGGTCTGTCTGTGTTAGCTGGAGTGTGGTGGGCTCTGGTTAGGACAGGCAGGGACAGGGGCTAATAGCAGCACTTAGCTCCATCTCTGTTGGTTCCCATGGTTTCCTAGATGGGAAAGCAATGTTTTGTGTGAAGATATAAAGAACCGACCCATGGCACTCTGTTCTGAGCATGCTGGAGATGTTTGCCTGGATTTTTGGGGGGTGGCAGGGCAGGAATGGGGCATGGGTAGGAGTCATCACTTATGTAAACATGCCTGGGAACTGCAGCAGCAGGAAGGATGTCCCTGCCCACGGCTGCGGTGGCTTTGAAGCCTGGGCTCTGGAGGTGACCCTCCTCTGTGGCTTGCTGGGAAGGGGTGATGAAGCAGCACAGGCTGCTCTTTGCTTTTCCTCTCTGATGGTGCTCAGTGGTGGATGCTGGAGTCTCCCATCCTGAAAAGCTGCTCTTCTGGTATAGTCCCTGCTGATGCAGAACTGCTGTGGAGGGTGAAAGGCCCCTGGCCTGCAGGGACCAAGTGTGTGGGTTCAGTCTAAGCAGGTGCAGCTTGTGTTTGTACTTCATTCTCCCACCAGTGAGAATGACCTCACTTTGTGAGGGAACCTCAAAGCCAGGATCAAGGCCAGCCCCAGGCTGCCTTCACCCCTGTCTCCACTGATGGTACAGCCTTTTAGCTGGAGCTGGGAGCTGCTGCAGAAACCCAAATTGCAGCGTTTTCAGCATCACTCGGAAGCTCTTACCTCTCCAAACAAATGTAGGACACCTTTGTCGTGTTCTCATCCAGCTAGAAAAACGGTTTTAATGGAGGAAATCCAAGTTGTACAATAATTGGCAATGTATGTGTGTTGGGATCTTGCTTTTCTGCTTGTCCCATCCCTTTGTAACTCCCTGCCCTGGAAGCTGGGGCTCTGCTGGGCTGGGGGGCTGGTTTTGGCAGGACAGGGAGCTCCGTGGCCCTTCCTAAGAGATGTAAGTGTCGGGCAATGCTGGGGCGAGTCTTGCCAGTGGTTGGAATTGCTTGTAGGGGAAATGAGTTGTCCCAGTGCCCCCACCCCTCTGGGCACCCCGGGCGCCCACCAGCACCAGGTGCTTCCTGTTTGGGCGCAGGCTGACATTTTTGCTGGATGAGACACTTCTGCTGGCAGATGTGGAGCATGTGATGTGGTGGGGGGGGACTCAATTCAATCTGCGAGTCAGCAAAACGAGCTCGCCTGCCTGCACGGAGAGAGGGAGACACGTGCCCACTTCCCTGGGCACTGCTCTTGTGAGCATCTGTGGTGAGCCCAGCTGGGATGGCATGGACTTACCTACTGCCCTGACCGGGCCAGCAGCAATAATCCCTGAAAGATGAGGAAGTGGAGGTGTTGGAAAGTGAGCCGGGAGCTAATCCTCACTAAACATGAGTGTGCTCCATGGGATCCCCCTTTAATATGGAGAAGGGGACCAAGCAGGTGGGGAACTCCTCCCTTCATCAGCACTTCTGAGCTGGGAGCTGGTTGGGAGTGACCACCTTGCAGTGGCAGGGGACACTGTAAAGGGCAGTGAGCACACGGGGTCTCCCTGCTGTGAGCCTCAAGCTGATTCTGAAAGGGGGGAAAAATGAAGTCCCCCTTTGCAGAGGGACAGCTGTGATACAGAGCAGGGAGATGGCACAGCAGGGCTGAGCGTCCCCAGACTGTCCCATCCCCATCACCATCTCTGGGTGTGGGTTGACACCACTGTTCCTCTCTGCTTTAATTTTGTTTAGCAGGTTTTGGGGATAAATTGTTTCTTCACTTAAAAATTGTGCTTGCAAAGAACAGGAAACTTACAGAATAAAACAAGTTGGGGCTTTCTGTCAATATTTGCTAAATTAAACAGTTACTTCTTAATTTTTCTGCGTTGTTTGGAAGTTAGATTAGTCCTACCAGCTGAGGTACAGCCAAGTGCTGTGCAGGGTCCCACCCGGCTCGCTGAGGGGTGGCAGGAGGCAGCACTGGCCACACGTGGCTGCTGGTGGGCTGGAGGCAAGAGCTGCCCCCGCAGCCGCGCTGTGGCCTTCAGTGCCTTGTGAGAACAACGGGGCAGCTGCGTCCGACCCTGCTGCTGCTGTTTCTGTTTTTGGAGCAGCTCACTTCAGCACACATTATTCCCCCTTGGAAGTTATTTCAAGCCACCATGCCCAGGAGTCATGGCTGTAGGTGCAACACCTCTGCCTGGCTCAGCAAAGCTGGCACTGGGTTGCATCAGGCTGTTGTTACCAAAATGGCACCCGCTGGGGCTGCAGAGCTGTTTTGCTGCCTGAGCTCATTTATTTTTGCTCCCTCCTGCTCCCCTGTGCTTCACACGCAAGGCTCACCAGCTCCTCTGGGGCAGCCGAGAGCCTGTGGCTATTAAAAGCCCTCCCAGTGGCGTCTTCCCTGGGGCTGGGGAAGGAGTAATGAACCAGTACAGGCTGCTCTTTGCTTTTTCCCACTTGTGATGCTGAGCTTGTTGCCCTTACCTTCCTTCCTGGCTTGGATTCAGCATCATCTCTTGGCTGGAGGTGCTGTTCTCTGGGCAGCCTGCTGCAGGGCTGGTTGAGGTGACGCTGCTTTGAACTGGCCATAGATAGAAGCGGTGGCAGCAAAATTCACTGCAGAGCAGGTTCTCTGCAACACTGCGGAGGCACGTTGCAGTATCACAGGGGGAAAAGGCTTTTCTGTCCACGTGTGAAGGGAAAGCTGGGTGAAAACTCTAAGGGAAACAGGAGGGCTGAGAGAGCAGCTTAACAGTACACAGCACAGTTGCTGTTAACTCTGAAACCTACTGATGGCAGTGATGGCATTGAAGCTCATCTTGTTACCAGTCATTCTACCCAAGTGTGTGTATGCTGCCATCCCAGTGCTGGCTTGCGGGTCCCATAGCTGAATCCTCTCCTTACCTCCCACCTGGATCAAAAGTGAGCTGTGGAAAACACCCCACTGCCCTGTCACCAGATGACCTCTGCGCTCTCCTTTTCTGTGTTGAGGGCTTTGGTAAGAGCAACCATGAGATGCTGCTTCAAAGTTAGCTGCACATAGGATTCACTAAAAAGTGTGCTCAGGGTGGTATTTATGCAGCATGTTGCCCAGCCTGCCAGCCAAGGAGGGGTCATAAGTGTGCTGGGAGAGGCTGCACCATGTTCTCCTCTCATTAGCTGCCCCTTGTCTCCCTTGCAGGACTGCCCCCAGATCCTGCCCTCCACGCAGATCTACATCCCTGTGGGTGTGGTGAAACCCATCACCCTGACAGCCAAGAACCTGCCCCAGCCACAGTCCGGCCAGCGCAACTACGAGTGCATCTTCCACATCCCTGGCAGCACCACCCGTGTTACTGCCCTGCGCTTCAACAGCACCAGCATCCAGTGCCAGAACACCTCGGTGAGTGCCCAGCTTGCCTCCATATGGCCTTTGGTTGTGGGCTGCTGGTTCCTGCCCTGCCCCAGGACCACCCTGGCACAGTGTATGGCCAGGTTTGTCCTCCCATGGGCAAGTAATGGTGGTTTCTGGTGGTTGTGGGGTGGGCTCCCCCCATGTGCATGGGGAGGCTGCTGCTTGGGGTCGTTCTGGATTGGATCAATGCCAGAGATGTCCCGGGGGAGCCATCAGGCTTTAGGAACACTTCCAAGGAAATTGGCTTTGGAAAGCTGAAGAAAGTTGCCTGGGTTGGAGCCAGCTGGCCCGGACATACACGAGTCTTTCCTCCCCCTTCTCTCTGCCTGCTCTTGCTTCCCCCTGACACCAAGTCATCCCACTTTACAGGCAGGATGGAGCTAACACCTTCTCCATGTCCCACTGAACACACCCCTCCATGTGCTGCAGTGCCTGCCAGCCCCACAAGCACTTCCCCTCCTCCCAGAAGCCCTTGTCCTTCCCTGGCAGCCCTTGTCTGCTGCCTCACCCCCCTGTCTGCCCTCCATCCTGGCCCTGCTGGTTCATTGCTCCCTGCTCTCTGTCCTTGCTCCCTGCAGCTCTGTCACTTAAGCTCTCTCCCACATGGAACTCTGCCCTCTCCAGTTGCCTTGTCCCTAAGCTTGAGGGTGCTTTGCAGCCCCTGGGTGAGCTGTGTGTGCCCTTTGCTGTGCAGCAGCCTGAGCAGGGAGCACCAAGCCCACGAGCAAACCCACCCAAGGTGTTACTAGCCCCCCTGGAAGCTCGTATTGCTCAGCTCCTTTGCTCCCCTGCTGGGCTCTGCACCAACCTGCCCTCACCCACATGGAGCTGACCCCTCCCTTCTCCCTCCTGTTTAATCCTTTTAAAATTTGTTTTCCATCACTCACACTGTGAAAGCTCATTTGCAGCCTAACACCAGTGATGATCCCTGCTCCCTTGTCCTTTGGTGGCACGAGTGACATTTAGAGGCCATTGAAGATTAGCCCTGGTTCCCTCCCTTCTCCTGCACTTCTGGGGCTGTGGGGCTCCTGGGTAGGACAAGCATCCCAAACTGCTGCCAATTGTCCTGGGCAGCAGTGCTGGGGGGATGCCATGCTGGTGAGGCTTTTTCTTGGTGATCCTCAGTTTGTGAGGAGCAGCAATGCTTCCCATCCTGAGCTAGCAGCTGGAAACGTTAGTGGGTCTGTGCCTGGCCTGGAGGTGAACACGAGCAGCAGCATGAAGTGTGAGCTTCAGGGAGGGCAGACTGGGTCTGACCCAGACCCCTGGATGTGAAGAGACATCACGGGAACATGATAAATGTGTGTGCAAAGAGATGTCACCGTGATGGAGGTCCCTTCACTGGGATCTATTCTGCTGATACACAAGCTTGGATGCTCTGTCTGCATCGCAGCCATGTGGAGTTTTCCTGGGGGTCAGCTGAGCCAGTTCTGTCCTGGCAGGAGGCTGTTTACACCAGGTACCTGTTGGATTATCTATGGGCTGTTCTGAAATGTGCCTGGCTCCACTGCTGGAGCACCTAGGGCTGGAAACAGGTTGGAGGAATTACTGTCCTGTTGCAAAGGGTGGAAGAAACATAGCCTCTTTGTCCCAAAGGGAGAGAACTCAGCTTGCAGGAACCTGGCTGGGCACAGGGCTGTGTCAGCACCTGGGAGCCAAAGCCATGTCTGTGCAGGGCATGGGAAGTCCAGGGGGAAGTGGATGCTGGCGCAGACCTTCATCCCTTGTGGTGATTTGCTGGTCCTCAGCTTTGTGGGGACATCTTGTGTGCCACTTCATGGTCAGAGCCCCTTGGCCAGCGCAGCCTCCTGCCAGGTCTCCTCTGCCTGCAGCTGGCAGAGCTGCCAGCTCCCTCTTGTCCAGTTCTTTAGCATGTGGTTTGTCTTAGTTCATTTACTGAGGTGTGCCTGCCTGTCCTAGGGTCCCCTTGAAGAGCTGAAGTGACCGAAACCTTTTCCTGGGCTGACAGTGATGGACATTTGACCCAAAAGTCAAGTACCTGAAGGGGAGCTACAGGAAAGCTGGAGAGGGACTTTTTACAGGGACATGGAGTGATAAGATGAGGAGTAGTGGTTTTGAACTGAAGGAGGGTAGATTTAGGTTAGATATTCAGACATATTTACTGTGAGGGTGGTGAGACAGTGGCACAGCCCAGAGAAGCTGTGGATGCTCCATCCCTGGAAGAGTTCAAGGCCAGGTTGGATGGGCCTTTCAGCAGCCTGGTCTAGTGGGAGGTGTCCCTGCCCATGCAGGGGGCTTGGAGCTAGGTGATCTGTAAGGTCCCTTCCAACCCAAACCATTCTATGATTTTGTGAAAGTTGCTAGCAAAGCAAATTGGCTGGAGGGCAGGAAGGAGGCACTGCAGGCTGTAGGGGTGCAGGAGCCATTGGCAGCAGCTCCATGGGGCCGTGGTCTCAGGCAGGAGTCATCACTTTTGTAAGCAGGGTGGCTTCACAGATGGAAGAGAGAGTTTTGGCTTGAAAGAAGCTGTCTTGCTTTCAGGGTCTGCTCGCCTGCTTTAACGTTTGAGGGCATTTAGCCAGGCTGCTTGATGGTGTGGGGGATTCAGATTCACACTTCTGTGATGCTTGTCTCCTCCCCGTCTTTTTTTGCAGTCCATCTGGCTGGTTGATAGCACTTCAGGCTCATGCGCAGTCACCCACCTGTGACCCTCCTGGTTCTTCTGTCATGATTTATTTTTTGAGTTAGGAGTTGGGGTATTGTCTGGAGTGGAGGACACTCTGATGAGTGGAAAAACAGGGAAAGGATGTCACCCTCCCAGCCGGCAACTGAGGAATGGATGTCCCTGCCTTGGGAAGGCATTTAAGCCCCTTTGTTCCCAGGAGCTCAATGGGATCTAAGCAAGAGGTTTATTACTCTTCAGAATTAGGGATGCTTTCCTGAAATTCATGTGAATGGAGGGTTAATAAATCAAGCCCCTAAAAACTCTGTCTTTTGTTTCGTTTTAGTGCTTGTCAAACTCCAATGGCTTGTTAGCACTTGGAAGAAAGGACATATTGGTTAAATATTCAGCAGTCTATTCATTAAGGTTTGAGTGTCAACTATAAACATAATTTGAGACACTAGATCTTCAGCAGTCTCAAGGGAGACCAGGCCTGGTGGTCCCCATGCATCCCAGGGCAAAAAAGAAGCAAACTCCTACCCTCCTTTTCTGCCTCCTCCCCTTGGAATCTTTCTACTTTTCAAAAGGAAAGCAACCATAATGATTTTCTTTGTGCTTCCTAAAGAAGAAGAAAGAGATGCCTAATTAAGAAAAAAATTTCTTTGCTAGTAGACTTATTTTTTTGTTAATTGGTTACTTTAAATCTTCTGGAGGCAGACATTTCCAGGCTTGCTTCTTGCAGCAGAGTATGGAGAAATGCTCCTGATTTTCATTTTTCAAGCATCTCTGCCTTTGCCCATTCTTTCCCATCAGCCATCCCCTCAACAAGGCTTATCCTTCTGATTGCCGCAAAAAGTAGCTTTGTTGTTGGAAAGTACCACAGTCCCAAATCTGCACAACTGCTTGTAACACTGGACTTCATTGGATTTCCTCCTTGGCAAAATGACTACAGGTGTTTCTTCCTGCCAAGGGTTTGGCTGTTCACTCCAGAATGTTCCTCCTAAGACTGAAATATAAAAATTTCCCTTTAAACAGAAAATAGGAAGAACCCCTGATCTCCTTTCCATGAGCATTTGAGTTTGTCATCTCAGGACTTTAAATTAAACCTCACGCCTCAATTGTTTCCCTCTTCTTTTAACCAAAGCCCTGCATGGTGAAGAGCAGTTGTGTCAGTTCCCTGGCTCCCTTTTGGCTCCTTCCTCACTGATCTCCCTGGCATGGGCAGCCCACCCATTTCAGCTGCAACTCTGGAGGATGCTTCCCTTTGCCTGAGCTTGGGTCAGGATGTTTGCCTGGGAGAAGCACAGAGCAGCTTCTCCCTGTGACAAAAGGATGCAGATGCAAAGCAAGCTGGGCTAATGGGGTTGGCGTGTGAGTGGTACCCAGAGCTGCAGATGCAGAGACTTGGGATGCCCAGCCCCAGGCATAGATGCTGGGAACATAGGCAAAACCTGCTAGATTTACTCTTCCTGGGTATTTTTGTACTGCAGTGGAGCCTGAGCGTTGTTCTGATGTGTTCCCAGGGTCCTGGGTTCTTACTTACACCCTGCTGAATTTCAGACAAGAGGAATCCAGGCGAAGAAGCTTGCATGTGATGGGGGAGGAAAGGAAGAGATTTATGTGAAAGAGCAAAAGGAGATCCAGAATCAGAGGCCAAGCGTTACCGTCAAGTTGTGCTGTTGTGTGGATGATGGTATTTTACTAGGCCTAGGGTGTATTTATAGAGGGACATAAATCATACCCACATGCCCTGCTCTGAGTGCTGCACACCTTCAGTGTGTGTATCTCTAATTAACCAGCCATGGAGAGGGAAGCAGGATTGGAGCCCACAACCCCAGCACCGTTCACCGACAAAACCGTGCTCTCCGTCTTAGCGGTGCCTCCATTTATCTTTCCTGCAGCAGTGTTTAAAGTGAAAAGGGAGTATCAGGAGAGTTTGATAGGATCCAATTAAATTCCAGCAGATAAAATAATGATGAATTGCAGTTGAGCCCTGGCGAGACGCGATGTACATTACTGCTGTCCCCGTAGTGCAGGGAAGGAGTTGAGGTCATCAACTACAGAAAAATAGGACACAGCTGCAGCCCAAGCGCTCTTCCAGAAATGCAGCCCAGGGGAAGGTGCATGTGAGAGGGAGGGGGCGTTGCGAGGGAAATTTGGATGTGTGGGTTTGCTTGCAGAGGGCAGAGGAGCAGCCTGTCTACTGCCCTCCTTGGGAACAGGGTCCCTCCCTTCCTTCGTGTGCTGGGTTGTGGCTGGAATGGGATTGATGTGTGATAGCTGTGGGGCCACCTGCCTTGACTGGGCTGGGCTAGTGCCCTCAGCCCAAGGGGTACTGGGTGGCCGATGCTGCTAGCTGGTGGGTGAGCTGTGAGCTTGCTAGAACTAAATGTGAGACCTTCAGGGGAGGTGGGCACCTCACAGGGTGCTGGGCTGGTGGGCATTCCCCACAGAGGGACAGGGCAGGCTTGTGAACTGGAGCTGGGAGAAGCACATGAGGTTGTTGACTGTTATTTGGGAAGATGACTGAGATAAGTTTTAGATGAAGAACCCTGAGAAAGGCTTGGTGAGAAGTCCTGTTGCCTGAACCACGTCCCTGCAGAAGAATACCTTGCTGACAATAGCTGTATCCACATTGGTGGGGCTGGTGTGTTCTCATTCGGCCCTTCCATGCTCGCTTTGTAGGCTTTTCCAGAGAGGGCTGCAAAGGCTGGTCACATTTGGTAAGGAGCCAAGCAGATCACATCTCTCTTGCTGACTCACTCAATGACATCTTTTCTCCCATCCCCTTCTGTGGACCCTGCTGCATGAGCACACTTCTCTGGGTGCTGCTGGTTTGCTCTCAGGGCTGTGCCTGTTGTTTTTTGCTTCCAGAGCAAACATTCCTTTCTCATAACTTGGCCCCACAGCAGCTGCTGTGTCACATCATGTGGAGTGAAAGGTGGTCTGATAGCAGGGCTGCTATCAGAGTTGGTGCATCCCCCTGCTCAAACCAGCCCTAGTCTCCTCTCCCCTCCCATGGCTCATTCCAGATCGCTGCCAGCCACAGTCATTGATTAGCTGGGAAGTTAATAACAGTTAAGTGTTTAATGGATGTTTAGCACTGTGCTCGCTAGAGGCAGGGAGGAGCCAGTGTGATGGGACCTGCTAGCTGCCTGTGGGCTCTTGTCTGGATGGGATGGAGAGACTTGTAACCACCCCCATGGCCTGCTTCCCACCAGCTGTGGGGCCTTCAGGGCCAGAAAGTGACCGGTGCTTTGTGCAGCTGCCAGGGCTGGGCTGCTGCCACCTCCCTGGCTGTGGCTGTGCCCGTGGTTGGAGTTAGGGCACCTTCCTGCCCATGCTATGGCAGGTCCCATCACGTTGACTCTGGCATCCTACAGGGACCAGTGCCAGCATCCAAGCCATGGACCCAGTTCCCGGCACTGCAGAGTAGATGAGAGGCTGCTGACAGACACACAGATGCCAATGACACATTGTTCATTGATATCTGCATTCCCTTGGTGATCCCTCCCTGCAAATGCCAGCCAGGGCCATGACTGCTGCTCCTGGCTGTCACTTCCCCCCCACACAGCTCTGCGCTCCTGACCACTCCCTGCCATGGCAAATTCAGCATCCTCAGCACCATGTCCTTTCCAAAAGACACACCATCTCTTGTGCCGTTGCCCTGTTTCTGTCTCTGGGCTGGTGCAGGAAGAGTTAATTCTCTCCCTCCCTCTCTCCCTATTCTTCCTCCAGCCCACCTCCCAGAAGAACTAATTTCCAAAAGCAGCCGGGGCAGAGAGATGCAAATAAGCGTTTTGGACAGCTGCAGGCTGGATGCCTTCCCGAGATGCCAGGGCCCCAAATGAGACATGTCAGAGTACAAATTGAAAATGCCAATTTCACTTATGCTGCCACGTGGCTCGTCACAGCTAAATTCTGCTCCAGCACAGCCACCGCCCTCCCCAGCACGTGCTCCCTCCTGCTGCCAGGGGATGGTCTGGCCAGCTCATCATGGTCCTGTTGGGGACGTCCTTGAGTGGGTGTAGGGTAGGGGAAGGTGAACAGATTTGGACTCCCAGCCCTATTCTGGCTCTGTCTTCCCAGGCCTAGTGAGTGGAATGTTCTGGTTGTAGTTGATGCATGTGAGGGATGTGGCTGAAGGTCCTTTGAGCTAACACTGGGAGAAGTGCCATGTCTGAGAGGTTGCATGGTCGGGGGTGGGTGATTGGGCTCTTCCTAGAGAGGGGAGTTGGTGGTGGAGCTGTTGGGTGCTCAATAAAGGGTTGAGAAACAGCAGTTGAATGTCTTATGCCTTACAGCTGCTGTGTATGGTTGATGACCAGCAGCCTTCCTTTCCTGGGAGGGCTGCATCTTGGGGTCCTCCACCCTGCATTTGGGTGTGGTGGCCCCTAGGACCACTAGCTGAAAGCTGTGGAGATGTAACCAGGGACCAGGCTTGGCCTCTCATTTGCATCCCTCCCCAGCTCATGTAGCATTGCTGTAGTCATGTCTCACATCTGGCACATGTCCCATTTTGATGCTGATTCAGGACTGTGGCTGGTGATGCTGCCTAGTTGGGCGACACTAAGCATGGAAGGGACCAACTCTGATGGTGAGGCAAGAAGGACCCAAGTATCTCTTGCTTCCCACAGCCACCTTGACATACTGCCTTCCTTTGTGGTTCATGTTCCTGCCTCCTGTGGAGGGGGTTGAGCAGAGCAGACCCATCAGAGTTGTCCCTGACAGGGGACAAATGTCCTCTGTGGGGCAGCAGCCAGGGCAGTGCTGGAGAAAAAATTGAGGCCACCTTCTCCAGGTACAGCACTGGGGCTGTGCAAGGTGACACTGGGGCTGGCTGGAGGAGGTGGCAGGGCTGTGGCCAGCCTGTGGCTGGGTGAGCTGCTGCCGGCGTGTCCACCGCTCCCTAACAAACTCCAGCAACCCATGAATCATTCATTTAATCTCTCCTGACACGCCTGTCATTTTCTCGGGCGAGGAGCGGGGAATCTCTTGCCGAAGGAGGTCATTAGCTGTCAGGGACGGTTCCGACTGCCTTCCTGCCTCTGTATCGATTAAACCTCTCCGCCCGCGTGCAGGGGCTGTGCGGGGAATATTGATAGGGCTGCTGGGACTGGGGCTTGGGTACTGAGGAAGGGGAGAGAGGTGTGGGTGGGGACGAGGCACTGGCTCGGCTGGAAGGACCAATGGAGCCCAGCTATGTCCTTCCCAAGCTTCACTAGTGACAAGTGTGATCCCAAATGTGATCCTGAACATCTGACTGAGTGGGGAGAATACAGGGGAGGACTCGGGTGCCTGGCAGGGAGAGGTATGTGTGCCACAGAAACTGTCTCTTTTCTCCTCTCCCATCAGCAGCAGCTTCAGATCTTTGGGTTAATGGGTTTTGGGTCTATTTAGAAACCATCTATTTTGTGTATTTATCTATTTTTGCTAGTCCACCCTGCTGGTTTGCATGTGCTTTATCCAATGTTTTGACCAGTAGCTGTTAGACCTGTCTGTTTGTAGCCAGCGAGTCTGAACCAGACCCCCATCCCTCTCCTCTGGGTTGATGTGAGACATCCACATAACAGGGTCCTACACCTCTCTATGCCCCTCACCAGTGTTTCACCTCACTGATTAATGGGCTCTGCCTTCTTCTGTCTCCTCCTGCAGTATTTTTATGAAGGGAATGACATCAGTGACCTGCCAGTCAACTTGTCTGTGGTCTGGAATGGGAACTTCGTCATCGACAACCCCCAGAACATCCAGGGTGAGTGAGGGATGGGACAGGGGTGGGAAAGCAGCCTGCCCTGCCCCCCTGCCAGCCTCCAGCCCACCCCTCTCCCCTGTCCTGACCACAGTTTGCACCAGTGCCTTGGGGGAGGGAGTGATGCTCCAGCTACATCCATCAGATAGATTTATAAACAAGAGGCTTTTCTCCAAGAAGCTTTGGGAGAGAGCCCAGAGCTCTGCCTCGATGTTGAGTCCAGGGTGCTGGTGCCTTCTGCTCTTGGAGGTTAGTCCCCCTGGGAGCTGAGGAGCAAGAAGGGGCAAGAGCAGGTACCCTTCTCCCCAAAACCCTGTGCCCGGGGGCTGGGGGAGCCGTGCTGACCCCCACACTCCTCCTGCCATTGCAGCCCACCTGTACAAGTGCTCGGCCCTGCGGGAGAGCTGCGGGCTGTGCCTCAAGGCCGACCCGCGCTTCGAGTGTGGCTGGTGCGTGCTGGAGAAGCGGTGCTCGCTGCGGCAGCACTGCCTGGCCCACGAGAGCAGCTGGATGCACGCCAGCAGTGGCAACAGCCGCTGCACCGAGCCCAAGATCACCAAGGTAGGCGGGGACGGATGGGTGGTGATGGCTTTTGCTAGGGGACCGGGAGGGAAGGTGGCAGAAGGGGGATGGGGCTTTCTGGTGGCACCTCGCAGCAACCAGATCTACTCAGTGTTTAGGACTGGGCGTCTCTAGTCGCCACTTTCTTTTCCAAGGCTAAAATCCTCTCTCCAGCATCCCCGTGCACTTGGCTTTCTGGCCCATCTCCAAGATTCCTACCACTCCTGCATGTGAGTGGAGTATCCCAGGAAAGCTGTGGCTTTAGGTTGCTCCTCCTCATGTTGCCATGCTTGTTCATCATCATCCCCCTTCCCTGACAGCTTGTATGACCTTCACTTAATAAGATTGTTCATATTAATGTTCACATGCCTGTTGGGCTGGGCTCCAAGTGCATGAGGAGGACTGGTGGGTGTTTCTGCTGGATTCCTTCTGTTTACCTGCAGCTGGCCAGACCTTGCCAGTGTTAAGTATCAGAGTTTTAGCGCAGGATCTGATCCATTTCAGTTTTAGATTTTTATCTGATGGAAGCTGGAAACGAGAGTCATGCCTTTTCCTTGTGTGCTGGCCTCTTGCAGGGTGCAAGAGCACCCAGCACTGCAGGGTGGCAGCTGCATGGGGAGGGGGGTGCCCCCCTACCGGGCACATCCCTGCTTGTGGGAAGTGCTGCCTGCAGAGGGTTGCCTGGGGCTGGTGGTGTGCTGACAGGAGAAGGGATCTGTTCCTGGAGGGGTGGGGTTGATCCCCAGAGCCTGCATCCCTACACAGAGATATGTGGTTGTGTGTGGGGCTGCAGGACTCCCTATCCCTGATGGCTTCTCACCATGCTTAGGCTGAACTCCCCAAAGCTGGACCCCTGGGGATGGTGGAGTGAAGACTGCACTGGCTGGTCATGCCCAAGGTTCCCTTGCTGTAGGCTGGGCCCTGTCCTCTTGTGATTGCATGGCCAGGGCTGCAGGTGCACACACACACACCACTCACTCACAGAAGCTTCTCCACAGCTGAGGGTGTTCAGCCTTGATAGCAGCTCTCCTGCCCTGAATCATTATGAAATTTTGCACTAATTTCAGGTGCAGCAGAAGCAGATCTGTTAACAGGTGGGCTCGACCCTCATACCACTCTGTGTTAGTGCCCTGGGAGCTGGCAGTCGGTGTTGATGTGTGTAGCTGTTAGTGTGATGCTCCTCCAGCAACCTGCCTGTTGCCTGCTGCTTCCCACAACCCCTGTCCCACACTCCAGGCTGTGTGCAGGCGTGGAAATGGTCCAAGGAGCAGCATGGTGCAGAGTGAGCAGCATGGGGTGGTGAGGGAAAAGTCTCCTACAGTGATGTCATGAGGATCTGGAGCCTCCTTCCTGCCCAGCTCACTGGGGTGCAAGTGTCTTCATGGATGGTGGGGCTGGGCTGGGAGATGACCATGATTAACTCCAACAGTGAAGAATCATTTAGCCATTGCTCACTGATGGGGACAAACACCCTCCAAACCTCTGCAGGGTCCTGCCCAGTGCTGGCTGTGACTCTCAGAGTGAGAAACCTTTCCCTGGGAAGGGGGAACACCTCAGCCTCCAGCATCTCCTGGCCCTTCTGCAGCCACTGGAGCTGGGAGTGAGCCCACTCCTTGCACCCACTAGAGCAGTTTGCTTGTTGATGTAAAAGGACCCTGTGAAACCAATTAGCAGAAAAGCAGCAGTGTTTGTTGCGGCCAGGAATTTGGAGGTGGAGGGGAGGAAGGGGAGGCTCACACAGTCCCTGCTTTTCTCATCAGCCCCCCCTTCTCTCACACACCTTGTTTAGCTGTGACCTTCCTGTGCTGGGCAGCCAACGATGTCATTTCATTCCCGGGCTCATTTCTCCCCAGACGTGTAGCCCTTGTCAGCTTTGCCACGAAGGAGGAATCAAACACGCCAGAGCAGCTTCTAACACTCATTTAGAAACACCAAACAAAACAACCGCTTCTCACCAGCTGCCCCGGAGGAGCTGATTTAGGGGGAAGACCCAGCCTGATGCTGGCAGCAGCTGCCGTAATGAGCTCTGATCCCAGACTTGGGCAGGGGCTGAGCTGGGTTTAGGCAAACAGCGGTTCCCTGCAGCCCCGGAGGGTTTTGTTGCTGTGTAAACTGTGAGCTGTGCCTGCCTCGGCAGGAGCCAGGGTCCCAGGCATGGGTTCCAGCTCTGATGCTGTTCCAGGACACATCCTGCAGGTCGCCTGTGTGTGGGGGGGGACTGTCTTCGCCTGTTAGAGTGCACTGAAGGTGATCAGCCTGATGGGAATGTGGGGTGGTTAACCCTCTGGTTAACCCCAGAGATGACGGCTGCATCAGGGCTGTGCAGAAACAGCCCCTGGCTCCACAAGGTCCACTGGGGATGGGGACAGTGTCTGCTGCTGCATGTGTCCCACCCTCTGCTCATCCACCTTTCCTCGCTGCAGGAGTGATGTCCAGGAGTGATCCCTGTGTGAGGAGAAAGAGGAAAAGGAGGAGGAGGCTCCAGCTGGCTCACTCACAGTTGCCAGGAGTGCAAAGAGCTCACTTATGTTTGGTCACAGCATGAGCATGGCTTTAGTGTGAGCCTCTCCAGGCACTGGGCTCGGCACTGGTGGAGATTCCTCCCAGTGCTAGAGGGGGTCTCTGCCAGTGCCACAGGAGCATGAGCAGAGGAGGGCATCACCTGCAACAAAACAGTACCTTTTCTAGTGTCAGGGTCCACTGTTCTCCTGGTCCCACCCAGCATGCATTACTCTCTCCCTTACCTGCTGCCAGCAGCTGCCTTTTTCCCTGCTCTGTCTCAGTGTAATCAGTGACCCAGCCCTGTCTCCAGCCCCAGCCAGGACACCCAGCCCTGTCATTCATCCCTGTTAATTCTGCAGGTGGGCGCTGGGCCCCAGGGCCAATGAGCGCTGATGTAAAACTGCCTGTAATTACCTGGTTGGAGGCAGCGATGAGCCCACGCCTCGGCTCATCCCTCATCCCTCCGCTGTCTGTCAGGCCACACCTGCCCACTTCGTTGGGCATCATCCTGGTCAGTGAAGCATGGTGCCAGGGTGAGGTCCTCTCCCTTCCCAGCTGGCCTTGGCACAGGGTTTGCTGGCAGAGAGAAACTCTTTCACCCCTGCCAACTATGTGCAGGGACCTGGTGGAGATGCTTTCTCCTTGGAGGAGATCTTGGATGAGGGAGCCTCATCCTTGGGGATGTAGGACCTGGCCAAAAGCCAGGGAGATCCATGTGCTTCCTTGCCAGCTCATCTGGAGTTGTGGCTGATGCTGCCCTGTCTCCTTCCGATCTGTGTCCTTTTCACCTGCGAGGCAGCTCCATCTGCAGCAGGGTGACCAAATCCCAACCCTCTGCTTGGCCACATCTGGCATCTCCTGGCTTGTTCCTGGCAGAATTTGTGGATGTGACTGTCATTCCGGAAGACTTTCCTGCTCTGTGGGCTCCTTACAGACATTTTATTATCACCCACCTGCTCCTCACTGATCAAGGGGGAGTAACACACATCCCACAGCTGCCCAGGCTGCAGCCTGCCAAAGTGAGGTGCTGCGTGGCTCTGTTCCCTTGGCTGATGGGCCATGCTCTCTCCTAGCTGTCCCCTGAGACTGGCCCTAGGCAAGGAGGGACCCGTCTGACCATCACTGGTGAAAACCTGGGCCTGAAGTTTGAAGATGTTCGCTGGGGCGTTCGAGTCGGCAAAGTGATGTGCATCCCCATTGAGAGCGAGTACATCAGTGCTGAGCAGTAAGTGCCTGGCAAGGGGTGGGTGTGCTCCAGGTCACCACAGGGCATCAGGGACAGGGGGGCTGGCGTTCATATGCTGCCTGGGGGTGCAGAAGAGGTGGAGCTGACTGGGCTGAACTGGGAGAGAAGCACCTGTAAGTGCGGTTGCTCTGGGAGGAGCCTGCAGGCTCTGGGGAAGCTGCCCCCAAGGCTACCAGTGCCTTGGTTTCTCATGAACCTGCTGGCACCTGCTTGGTGTTAGATCTGTCCCTTCCTGAAGCCAGTCCATCCCCACTGTGGCACAGGGAGTATCTCGGTGTGAGGACACTGAGGCTGCTTCCCCATATCCCTTAGGATCGTGTGCGAAATCAGTGATGCCAGCAAGGTCCATGAGGCACGGGTAGAAGTGTGCATCCGTGACTGCTCACCCAACTACCGGGCCATGTCCCCCAAGAGCTTCACCTTTGTGGTAAGTTCCATGCTGGGAACAGGTCTGGCACTGGGGGAGGGAGGCGATGCCGGGTTGTTTTGGGTGGTTTTCCAGGTGAGTTGGAAAATCTGTCATCATTTCCCCAGGGGCAGGCAGGGACGCTCTGGGCAGGTGTTGGGTCACACTGGTTGAACTTGCCCAAGGTTGCCTCTGCTCTGCCTCTCCTGGCACTCCCTTAGCAATGTGCCCTACTGTTGTCCCACAGGTTCCTCTCCTCTGTGCCCCTTATCCCCCACTCAAAACTGCCTGGGGATGCAGGGTTCGTTTCCCAGCCTGTCTGACACCAGGGATGCTCTTTTCCTTTGACAGACACCCACTTTCTCCCGCGTGGTCCCAGCCCGGGGCCCACTCTCTGGCGGCACCTGGATCGCCATCGAAGGCAGCCACCTCAACGCGGGCAGCAACGTCTCTGTCACCATCGGGGGACGGCCCTGCGCTTTTTCATGGTGAGGAGCACAGAGGTGGTGGAGGATGAATGATGGGCACCTCCAGAGGCAGCAGGACCCCTAGATGAAGCAGTGGCCTGGAATGTGCTGGGGAGCCTGCAAGGGACCCTGCAGACGGCCAGAGGTGTCTCCCCGTGAAACCTCCGTGTGTCAGAGGCTGCAGGGAGAGCCCAAAGAACAGGGATTTTTCTCTAAAAGTGTAAAGCCCTGAGGCATGAAGTGGATAATTTTTAGATTAGGGATGATAATGGAGCGGCTCTTTAAATATTTTCCTGCGGTAATTACTGGTTATCAGCCCTAATCGCTGCTGTTTGCAGCAGCCGCACGATGGGAACGCTCAGGAGCTGCTCAGCCTTTCCCGCCTGCCTTTTGTTTCGTTTCTTGGTGTTGTGGGGTTTTTTTTCTTTTTCCATCGAAGGCAGCCACCTCAACGCGGGCAGCAACGTCTCTGTCACCATCGGGGGACGGCCCTGCGCTTTTTCATGGTGAGGAGCACAGAGGTGGTGGAGGATGAATGATGGGCACCTCCAGAGGCAGCAGGACCCCTAGATGAAGCAGTGGCCTGGAATGTGCTGGGGAGCCTGCAAGGGACCCTGCAGACGGCCAGAGGTGTCTCCCCGTGAAACCTCCGTGTGTCAGAGGCTGCAGGGAGAGCCCAAAGAACAGGGATTTTTCTCTAAAAGTGTAAAGCCCTGAGGCATGAAGTGGATAATTTTTAGATTAGGGATGATAATGGAGCGGCTCTTTAAATATTTTCCTGCGGTAATTACTGGTTATCAGCCCTAATCGCTGCTGTTTGCAGCAGCCGCACGATGGGAACGCTCAGGAGCTGCTCAGCCTTTCCCGCCTGCCTTTTGTTTCGTTTCTTGGTGTTGTGGGGTTTTTTTTCTTTTTTTTTTTTTTTTTTTTTTTTTTTTTTTTTTCTTTCTCTCTTCTCCCTCTGTCCCCACCCAGTTTCAGAAGGGGAAGAGGGGCTGGGGGCTCACAGGCAGCAGTGGCTGCCCCTGGTTCCTCCCTCCTGCCCGGGCACTGACGGGTTGTGTGTTTCTGTCCCAGGAGAAGCGCCCGCGAGATCCGGTGCAGGACCCCCCCTGGACACACCCCAGGCGGCTCCCCCATCCTCATCAACATCAACCGGGCAGAACTGAGCAACCCAGAGGTGAAGTACAACTACACGGAGGACCCCACCATCCAGAAGATCGATCCTGAGTGGAGCATCAATAGGTGAATTGTGGGGTACCTGCAGGGAGCTTGTGGGACACATCAGGGACTGTTTTTCACATGGATCACCCCTCATCCTGATGGGTACATCTCAGTGCTGCTGCAGTAGCCCCCTGGCTGTGCTCTAGGGACGTGGCAAGAGGAGTGTGAGCAATGGCTTGGCACCAGGGCCCTGCTAACTCCTGGCCTGCAGTGCTCAGCCTGGCAGGGGGCAAGAGCAGAGAGCGCTTTGGATCTGTTTAATTTCAGCTTGACATTTGGTGGCGGCAAGTAAAATTAAAATATTTCCCATCGGGGGATTTTTTGAAATGTTTACATATTTTTCTAAAAGGTTTGAATTGGCTGTAGAGGAGGCGAAGGAATCCATTAAGAGCTAGAACCAAGGGAAACCTTCCCCAGGGTGTTGATGAGGAGAGAACTCCCCAGGGGCATGGCCAAGCTCTCCAGGACTGTAGGGCTTTTAACTCTAAGCTGTGGAGAAAACTTGGCAGGGTTCTGTCTGCCCTGCCACCCACTGCCTGCATGATGGAGAAGAGGGTGACAGAGAGGACCTCCTCCTCCTCAGGTTGCTTTTTACTGTTGGTACCCCTCAACGTACCAACAGTAACCAGACCTTCTCTTCAGACCCCAAACCTGGACACAGGGTGGGATGTTAGTGTTAATTAGCAGGTTTTCTATCTCTAGTTGGTCCCTGGGTCAGCTGGGATGATTTAACAGCGGTTCATGCAAGATCCTTCCAACCATGGTGACATCTGAGTGAATAAGAGGTCCCTGGGGCATTGTGGTTCACTCAGGCTGGGGCAGATGGGCATCTGGCTTGTGAGAATGGGTGTTTTGTCCCAGAAGTGGTGGTCCTGTGCCAAGCTGCCTTTCCTAACCCATTGTCTCCATGTCTCTAGTGGTGGGACGCTGTTGACTGTGACTGGCACCAACCTGGCCACCATCAAAGAGCCCAGGATCCGGGCCAAGTACTGCAGCTCTGAAAGGGAGAACGTAAGTGTGGTGCTGGCTGGGGCTGGGGGCAGAGCACAAGGAGGAGGAATGCCATCCCTCTGCAGGGCAGAGCAGAAAGCTCATCCCTTGCCCATCAGGTGGGCCTGGAAGGGCTGAGGTCCAGGAATTGTCACCCAAAGAGCAGCACTGATCTCTGCAGAACCTTTGGCCAGGTGCTGTCAGGAGACGTTTGAGATCTGAGCATGCAAAACTGATGGCAAGACTGTGGGATGTCTGCAGGATAGTGACAGAAATTTCTAAGCCTGTCCCCAGCAAGCTCCCACCTGCCTCCGCTCACCCATCTGTTGTGGACTGGACTCTCTCTCTCTCTGCCCTGGGGTGGGATGTGGCACCTGTTGATGGAATAGCACAGGACAGGTGATCCCAAGTCTAAACCCTGTGTCCAGAGACGCTTATTGCGGGAGATCTTTGCAGAGTCCAGTCCTGATGTCCCTGTCAGGAGCTGGGTCTGACCTCAGTCTGTGCCTCCTGCAGAACTGCACTGTCTACAACGACACCACCATGGTCTGCTACGCACCCTCCATCGACAACCCCGAACGGAGCCCTCCGGAGGTCGGCGACCGCCCCGATGAGATTGGCTTCATCATGGATAATGTCCAGGCCCTGCTGATCGTCAACACCACCAACTTTGTTTACTACCCGGACCCTGTCTTTGAGCCACTCAGCCCCACAGGAATGCTGGAGTTGAAGCCCAGCTCTCCCCTCATCCTCAAGGTAAGGCATCATGTGTCCAGGGGCAGTGGGGTAGAGACGTGTCTCTCTGTTTCTTATTGTCTCTCATGGGGCAAAATCCCGCACTGCAAGAGCATGAATCTGCTTTATGTTGGGTTTTTTAAGCCTTCCCCATTGTATGAGAACTGACAATCTTGTTCCCTCAAAGGGCAGGAACCTGCTGCCACCAGCTGCTGGTAACTCCCGCCTGAACTACACGGTGCTGATCGGAGACACTCCCTGCACCCTCACTGTCTCTGAGACCCAGCTCCTCTGCGAGTCCCCCAACCTCACTGGCCAGCACAAAGTCACGGTATGTGTTGACACCAGTCTCTTTGCTTCTCATGTCCCATGTGTCACAGAGGTTCAGTCTTTATCTTGTCTCCAGCCCTGTTGTGTGCCCATCCTTGGATGAACACCAGATAGTCAGTGGACATGCAGGAACGTCCATAGGTGCCTTCTTTCTGCTCCCTGGGCAGTGCTCTCCCTCATTACATGTCCAGTAGGACCAAATACTTTGTCCCCTCCCTTGCATGCTCAGCTGGGCATTTCTGTGCCCTGGCTGACCCTGTCAACAACCTCCCCTTCCCCCAGGTGCCAAGGCATAGCCTGTGCCAAGGTGGGAGGGGTTCCTACCCCTTCCCCCTGGGGCCAGCTCATGCCATAAAGAAGACTCCTTTGTTTGTGGGGTTGTAGTGCAGTGGTGCTCATACTCCAGGACCCTGCCAGGTTGAAAAGGACCCAGCATGGTCGTCCCCCCCAGGCTTCCCACCCATGGGGGAACTTGAGTCACATCCCATCTGTTACTGTGATGTTGTCTGAATGAGACATCAAACTCTCTACCCACTCTGGCAGCGCGTGTCCTGCATCCTATTAAAGCATGCCATGTAGCTCCAGACCAGCTCCTGCCACCCTGCAGGTTTCTGCATCCTCGTTTTCCCAGGCTGGGAGTCATTCCCCAGTTCCCAGCACGGCATGCAGGGTGAGGAGGGATGCCCAGGGTGCGTGCCCTCTGACACCATGTCCATTTCCCCCCCCCCCCCCCGATGCAGATCAAGGCTGGAGGGTTTGAGTTCTCCCCAGGGACACTGCAGATCTACTCAGACAGCCTGCTCACCCTGCCTGCCATCATCGGGATCGGTGGTGGGGGTGGTCTGCTCCTCCTCATCATCATCATTGTCCTCATCGCCTACAAGCGCAAGTCCCGGGATGCCGACCGGACCCTGAAACGCCTCCAGCTGCAGATGGACAACCTGGAGTCCCGGGTGGCTCTGGAGTGCAAAGAGGGTGAGGGATCCCTGTGCTGCAATTGTGGGGGGTCTTGGAGGGTCTCGTACCGTCCTGAGGCTTAGTGGGCTCCCTGACTTTCCTCACTGCCTTCCAGAGAGGGAATGGGAGTGGGCAAAGCTGCTTTGCCAGAGGAAGCAAACTAATTTTGGGTGGAATTTGGAGATTTTTCCAGTTAAGAAATTCCCCTCTGTTTTTCCAAATGGAAGAGGAGAGAGTGAGGAGGGTAGCAAGGACTGCCTGTGAGCAGGCAGTCGGTCTCTCATTATGTGACAGACGGATGCTGTGAAATTGGACAGAATTCCTTATATGATCCTGCTGATAAAACCTAATTGCCCATTATCCCCCTGAGCTGGCTCCTGAGGCCCCGACCCCGCCAGCCACAGCCACAACCAGCCCCAGCTTTGTGGATGGAGCAGGCACCAAAACCAAGATAATAAAAAGGAGGAAGAAAGAAAACCCCTTCGCTCCCCCAAATCCTCATCCTTGCAGATGCCTGAGGATGGCACTGGTGACAGGGAGAGGGGAGGGAGCTGGTGGAGGGGCTGGTGTCTTGTCTTCCACAGCTGGCAGATAAAAGGATCTGCTTTTAATTAAAAGGCACAATCTCTTCCCTGCCTTTTCTCTTTTCTAGTCCCACTAGTTACAGATAAGATAGCATGCCTTTCAAGCTGACGGTTTGTTTTTTCTCATCAGGCTGACGAGCCTGCAGTCCTCTGCCTGGCTTTCAGCTCCCTTTAAAGTGCCGTTAATTTGATTTTTCTGAGAGTTTTCTCCCCCCTCCCAGCCCCTTTTCCTGGTGCATCTCCAGGACTCCTCTTCCGTCAGCTTTTCCCTGTAGGTGCAATTAAAGGTTCAGGGGCCCCCCCTCCCCAAGACTGCATTCCCCTGGGAGTTGTGGCTGCCTCTGCTCAGACTGGGAGGTGCTGGGGTGGGTGTGTTCAAGCTCTTCTCTCAAGTAGTATTTAGGTCAAAAAGAAATGAGGACATTCTTGTGGTTTAGGCTAACATTTTCTCCCAGAAGCTCTGGCTTTGTTCAAGCCTTGCTGTTCTCCACTTCCTCCAGCATCCCTGGGAGGCTGCAAGTGCTGAGCAGGGGGAATTTGAGACCCCCAGGACTCGGTGGTCCTGTTCCCAAATCTGCTATTTATTCTGAGGAAGTCACCTCCACCCTCCACAGCTCAATTTCTCCATCTGTGAGATCGGGACAGTGCTGGGGGAGGGATGTGGAGCTGATTCATGCCTGTGGGTCCCACCTGTGGAATGCTGGGGGGGTGCAGGGGAGACTGGGTGCCAATGCTTTGTGGTGGGACTCGGGGATGTGTTGATTAATTCTGCTTTTCCCACCCCAGCCTTTGCTGAGCTGCAGACTGACATTAACGAGCTGACCAATGACCTGGATGGGGCTGGCATCCCCTTCCTGGATTACCGCACCTACGCCATGCGGGTTCTCTTCCCAGGAATAGAAGACCACCCTGTGCTGAAGGAGATGGAGGTGTGGTTCTGTCTGTCTCTGTGTCACACTAGGGATGTGTCCCTGTAGAGTCCCCTACACTGGTCCCCATGCCCAAGGTGTGGGGCTGGCTTGGTACTTTGGTGGGATGCTGGCCTGGCCTGGAGCTGCAAAGAGCATCTTGCTGTAGGGCAGGCGGCGTGAATAGAGACTGACTGCTGAGTGGTTGCTGCGCTCTCTGACATTAATATCAATATTTATATTAATATTATAGCTGCTGTCGTTTTCTACAGCACTTGCTTTATTCAATTGGGTTTGTTTGATGCCTGACCGGCCACTCGTTTCTAGCAGGCTTGTCCAATGTTGCCTGCTTGCTTGGCTCCATCTCCCCACCTAGAATCCATCCTTGGCATCCTTCCCCTGCTCTCCAAACCAGCTCCCTCTCCTCTCCTGGCCTCCCCATGTCTGTTTAATTTAGTGCGTGCAATTGCACAGCAATTGGCTTCTCGTTTGCTGGGCTGCTGAGGCTGCTCTTGATTAGAGACAGGAGGGGGGTGACCTTAGCCTCCCCTCACTGCTGACCTGGCACAGTAATTAATGTTGACGTGGGCTTCACAATGTATTTAGGAGAAGTAATCGGCCCTGGTGCAAGATGCACGGTCACTAATTGCAACACAACAAGCTCTTACCAACTGCAAGTGCACGTGCTGGTGTTGTACGCCAGCATGGCTAGAGTGTGGGGCCTGGCCCTCTGCCTGCTTTCTTTCTCTGGTCCCTAATCCCAGCTGTGAAGGGCGCTGGGGACCCGTTTCCATGGATTTCCCCTTCCAGCTCAGATTTCCGGATGCTCGGAGCCACAGCAGGCGTGAGCGTAGCCCTCCCTGGGGCACAGCCCTTCCTGTCTGTGTGAACGCCTGGCTCTCCCCTCACCTCTCTGTGCTTGCTCTTAAGGATTTTCCCTAAAGAGAGAGGAGTAGAAGAGCTATCAAAAAGGGTATCAGAGGAGAAACTCTGCATTGGCTGTGGCAGGCTAGGTGGGAGTTTGGCTGCTTCCAGCTCCTATAATTCAAAACATCCCACTTGAGAGAGCACGCCAGCTCAGCCTGGCCTGGGAAACAAAGGGTTAAAGTTGCAAAGTAAAAAAAAAAAAAAAAAAAAAAATCCCCAAAAGAGATTAAATAAAGCAACTACAGTTGTGTAAGCTTCATATAATTTAATCAGGTTTGCTTTTATTTGTCTCTTTACTCAGAGGGTAACATTAGCTATTGCAAGTGACGGGAAGGAAACAGCACTTACTCATGCACACACTAATCCTCAGTGAGCATCAGGCTGTCTGCACCAGCTCCCTTTCTCTTTAGGTTTTGGGGAAGGGGCTTTGTGGCTTTGTGTGAATTTAAGACTGAATCAATATTTAATTTGGTATTGTTCATTTACTTCTTCTAATGATCAGCAAGTTAAATATAGGAGTCCAGGGAGGTGACAAGCATGTTGGGGGCTCAGATATTGCTGTGCTGCTTGTGATGGGGGTTTCAGGTCCTCCTGCCAAGGCTCCAGTAGGATGGTCACTGTTGGGCAGTACCTGTTTCCTGTCTTATTGAGATCCTGCTGCTCAGCTGAAAGGAGAAATCCTCTTACCCCCTGGTATCCTTTGCCTGGTCTTGGCTGTAAAAGCACCAGCAGCACTCAGGCGTGGGCATGCAGCATTGTTTCCCAATGCTTAGTTTTACTGGTGGTTCTGGTAGGTCTCTAGCACAGCTGCAGTGCTCCAACCAGCTCTTGGGTCTTCTGATGCTGAGGAATCAACTGGCATCTCTGCATCCCTGGAAGAGCATCTGGTGCTGCTGAAATTCAGGCATCTGCCCAACTTACCAGCATTGTTGCATTGAGGTCCCCATGTAGGGACTCCAGGAAGATACCATTTAAAGTATTTCTGTTCCTAGCAAGATGTTCTCCTCTGACTTGCGTTAAGGCAATTGAACCACATGCTTGCTCACATGGTGTCCATGAGAGGAACCCTCAGGTTGGGGGTCAGAGGGTTTGTCACTCCCCCATCAACCTTCTGGGATGCTCTGGGGCAGATGTCCCTGGTTGCCTGGGTAACAAGAGTGATAGTGACACCTGGGGGCTCCTATTGCAGAAGTGACAAGGACTAGGTGGGGAAACAGGGGTTTTGTCCAGTGAGAAAGAGTATTTTGGTGGGGGAAGTTACAACTGTGAGGAATCTCGCTGAAAAGCGCTGATCCAAAGTTTTGATTGAAGTGAAATGATTTGATGTGTCAAAACCCTCTTCTTCCTTTTGAGTTGGTGTTTTGAAATGAAAAGTGTTGTTTTGTCTCCAAATACCGACATAAAATGAAACTATTCACTTATTCTCCCAGTCAGGAAGACAAAGAGGGAAAAGCACATTAAAATTGATGTCTTACCACCGCAAGCCTTTTATTCAGAGGAAATATTTTCTAATGGGAAAACTTTCTGCTGTAAAAATGCTTATTTCTGATAAGAAATGTGGTCAGGGCTGACCAGAGCTGGGCTGATGACCACAGCACTGAGATGAAAGCATGCCAGACCTTGTTGTCAAGGTAGACAACATCAAAAGGCCTTCCCTCATCCAAGGACAGGTCACCCTGTCATAGAAGGAGATGAGTTAAGTTAAACAGGACCTGCCTTCATGAACCCGTGCTGACTGGGCCTGATCACCTAGTTGTTCTGCATGTACCTCATAATGGTACTCAGGATGATCTTTTCCATTCCCTGGTACTCAAGTCAGACTAACAGGCCTGTCATTTCCCAGATCATCCTCTGTCCCTTCTTATATATGTGGGTTATGTTGGCTGATTTCCAGTCTGCTGATATCCCCAGTCAGCCAGGACTCCTGATAAATGTTGAAAAGTGGCTTGGTGAGCACCCCTGCCAGCTTTCAGCACTCTTGGGTGCATCGCATCCAGCCCTATTGATTTGTGCACATCTACATGATGTAGCAAGTCACTGACCATCTCCTTTTGGATTGTGTAGGGATCATTCTGCTCCTGGTCCCTGTCACCTAGTTTTGGGGGTTGGATTCCCTCAACGTAACTGGTCCTGTTACTAAAGACTGAGGCAGAGAAGTCATTAAGCACCTCAGCCTTTTCTTCATCATTCATCACCGTGTTTCCTCCTGCATCTAATAGTGGATGGAAGGTCTCCCTGGTCTTTCTTTTGTTGTTAGTGTATTTATAGAAGCTTTTCTTATTGTCCTTTACCATGGCCAAGTCTGGCCAGAAATACACCTTCAAGGGAAAAGGGAATATTTCAGGCTGTGCCTGGAGTGGGGCAGAGCCAGGTTTCTGCACTTTCTTCCCTTTCTGAAATCCAGCCTCTCAAATCCAGGCAGATTTGCTGCTAGTGAAGCTCAAGGTTGTGGCTGTATTTGCTTTCTGTGCAATTCCCAACGCGTGTGTTGTAGTGACCTGAGTGGGAATTGAGCTGCTTGTTAGCTGAAATGGAAAATTATAATTTTATGTGTGTGTGTTTGGGAGAGAAAGAGTGTTTATGAGAGGGAAGTGTGTGTATGTGCCTGCACATGTGTGGGAAGGTCTTTGTATGGAAGTGTGTGTGTGTAAATACATAGATACAGGTTGATGCCCTGAGACTGTGTTGACCTGACACTGAGATATTGCAATCTAGATAATACTTCTGGAGGGAACTAATGCTGGTCACCAAAGAGGAAGCTTAGTAGTATGGAAGGAGGAAATGCAGCTCTTTTTGACCTTTTTTCATGCTTTCCTCTTGGAGGATGAGGGTGAATCCAGGGCCTTGTGCAGCCCAGCCACCTTCCTCTTCACCTTCATCCTCATCCTTGTGCCCATCTCCCAGCTTTGCTTTATCCTTACAGGTCCAGGCGAATGTGGAGAAGTCTCTGACCCTCTTTGGGCAGCTCCTGAACAAGAAGCACTTCCTGCTGTCCTTCATCCGCACTCTGGAGGCTCAGAGGAGCTTCTCCATGCGGGACCGTGGCAACGTGGCCTCCCTCATCATGACGGCGCTGCAGGGGGAGATGGAATATGCCACGGGTGTGCTGAAGCAGCTCCTCTCTGACCTCATCGAGAAGAACCTAGAGAGTAAGAACCACCCCAAACTGCTCTTGCGGAGGTGAGTGACCATCTGAGAGGTGGGAGCTGTGAGACAGTGCCCAGGCTCTTCTGAGCCTGGTGTTCGGGGATTGTTTAGTTTGTAGAAGAGGAGGCTGAGGAGGGACATCATTGCTCTCTACAGCTACCTGAAGGGAGGTGGTGGTGAGGTGGGTGTTGGCCTCTTCTCCCAAGAGAAAAAAACATAGGACAAGAGGAAATGGCCTGAAGTTGCACCAGGGGAAGTTTAGACTTGATATTAGGAAGAATTTATTTACTGAAAGAGTAGTTAGGCACTGGAACAGGCTGCCCAGGGAGGTGGTGGAGTCACCATCCCTTCAGGTGTTTAAGAAACGTGTAGATGTGGAACTTCAGGGCTTGCTGTAGTGGGCCTGGTGGGTTTTTTTCTGGGTTGTGTGTTGTTGGTTTTGTGGGGTGTGTGGTTGTGGGTTAGCTTTTTTTGTTTGTTCTGTTGTTCTTTGTTTGGGAGGGTTGTGTTGTTTTTTTCCCCACCCCTGGTGGATGGTTGGACTAGGTGATCTTGGAGGTCTTTTCCAACTATGATGATTCTGTGATTTGGTCTGTGTGGGTTCATGTTGTCTGGGAAGGAGAGAGCAAGATGCTGGGCAGCTGCTGGCTGCGTAGGCTGGTGCTGGGAGGATGCACCCTGGTGTCAGGGGCTGTTGTGTGTTGCTGCAGTGATGCTCCCACCTGCCTTCCCTGCTCCAGGGAAAGCCAGGCAGATCTTTGCAAGCTGGGAGTTTCTCTGGGGCTGGGCAGAGCAGGAGCAGGAGCAGCCTGCCAAGCCCTGCCGGGAGTCTGCCTGGCCCATCAATATTTAACATTAGCTCTGAGCTCTCCTCCATCATGGGCTGATGAATATTGAAAGATACACCAAGTGCTGAAGAAAAACAATTAATAAGCTCCACCAGCCCAGCTCGAGGCCCTCCATGCTGTCTTCTGCCTTCACAGGCTGTGCTGTGCCTCCCCATCTCCATCTCTGCCAGCCCAGTGCGACCATCCTCCAGTGGAGATGCAGGGACAGCTGAGAGCCACGGGGCTGGCACATCACCAAAAAGGCTCAGGAAAACCTGAGCATTTTTCAAACATTGCTGGCATGGCCAGTCTGGACAAAGCTTGTTGGGGTTTGTGTACCTGGCCCTGGGGAGATGGCTGGAGAGGACACAGATGTGAGCTGGTCTCAGTTACTTCCCTGATTCCTTCCCTCAGCTGCTCTCTTTAAGCACATTGCTTTCTTATTCTCTCTGCTTCATTTATCATATTACAAGGGTGCCCTTAATTTCCCAAAGCACCTCACTAGCAATGTGCCAGAGAGGTGTGGTGCAGACCTGTGGCTGTCTGGGAGAGGGGTGAGTCTTGGAGGTGCTGACCCCTCTTCCCTGAGCACATCCTTATGCTCTTCCCTTCTTACTGTCCCTCCATGACACCAGGCTTCACTAAAATATTTAAGCTGTGTTTCCAGCTCCTGGGTCTCTCAGAGCATCACGAAACTGCTGCAATCGGAGCGAAACTCTGGAATGAAGTAAATCAATAAAATATAAATAAAAAGCAGAGCAGGAGGCCAGCAGCTGCAGTGGCTGAGCAGTGGGAGCAGCACAGGGGCAGAGCCCAGGCTGTGCCAGTGCTGTGGGACCTGGTGGCCTGAGAACTGTTGGTCCCCAGCCATGGAGCTCAAGGGACTGTCACAGGTGGAGTCAGGCTTAGGGCAGGGACAAGGTCCTCTGGCAGGTACTTTGCTTGTGCCTCCCCATTATTAAATGAAGAGACTTTGTTCTCCCTGCAACCACAGCGTGGAGCAAGTGGTGCTGAGGGCTGTGCTTCTCTGTCCTTTTGATTAGCCCTGCTCTTGGGTGTGAGAGTGTGCTTTCCTCCCAGGGCAACTGGATTAACATGGATCTGACTGGGAGAGCTGTTATTTATTTTGTTATTGGATAATCCCCCTGTTGCTGTGGCATCTGGCACTATCACAGATAAAGACAAATATCTGCCAGAGCCCAGGTGATGCCACTTCAGATGAGTGTTACAGGCTCATCACCAAAGGACCTGGTCTGGGACGAAGAAGGATGTCTGCTGGAGAGCTTCAGTCCACCTCTCCCTTGGCTTTCTCCCCCCATCCCTTTCCTTCTCCTTTTTATCTTCCCCTTGCTGGATTCCTCTTTCCCAGTGGGATGCAGGAAAGCTTCCCTCCCCTGGGGGGACAGGTATTACCATCCCTCATGGTTTAAGGAGGCCTGTACTATTCCAGGGATGGCAAAATGGCTAAGCCCCATTAGCACAAGAGGAAGCCTTGGAAGGCACCACACAACCCTGAGTCAGCTGGAATAAACTCTGGAAAAGTGGATTTCCCACTTTATCCCTATGGTTATTGGGAACTGCTCCTGCCCAATCTGCCAGTCCTGGCATTGCCATTGGGCAGTGGGACTCTTCTTGGTGGCACTGAGATTTGGGTTCCTTCTGGGTTTTGTTTCTTGAGTCAACCTGTTTGTGTCCATTCCCCCGGTGCAACAAAAATGCAGCCACATTTGTGATTTATTAGTACTGCTGGTGCTTTCAGGAGCATCTGTGTTTGCAAGTGGCTGATCTGATGATTAATGAGTGGATAAGCTGAAGAATCCTAACTGGGGAGGGTCGGGGGCTGGTTGGCATTTTTACTTCAAAGGGAGTGAGAGCTGCTTTAAAAGTTATTGACCTGTTAGAGGAATTTTAATCCTGTAATAGTGAGACCAGGCTGTGGTGCAGAGGCAGGTGTGTTAAGCTGCCCTTGTAGGGCTGCATGGTGTCACCCTCAGCTCCCTCCATGCCAGGTTGTCCCCTCTCCTCTGCTGGTGCAGCAAGTCCTGGCTGTAGTACCACCACCCTGAAATCCCCATGTCCAATGCAGACCCACCACGACTCAACCCATCCTGTGGGATCTTGCTCTCCCTTTTGTGCACATGCTGCATGGTGATGATCTGAGTCAGAGAGAGGTGACTCCCCTGGACCTTTGCTGCCATGCCACTTTGGGGCTGGATTTGAGCCATGCTTTAGGAAACAGGAGCAATGTATAGATTTCCTCAAGGGAGTTTTGGCTGCTTCCTTCAACTGCATCTCCAAAAGCTGAGAGGGCCAGCTCCATTTTTAAGCTCCTTTTTGAGCAGGTGATTGCAGTGATTGTCTTCTTGCTCTAATGTGAGTCCTGGGATTTGAGACTGTAGAGATCAAAGGGTACTTTGGGTGTTTCTGGGAAGTCCCTTGTCACTCAGTAGTGATGGGCCAGTGTCAGGGCAATAGCTGTGTTGAGTTCATTGCTGGAGCAGAAGTCAGAGAGAGGCTTCCAGCTAGATCAGGCACTTGTTGGTGTGGGAGAAAGTTCTCCAGTTGTGGGAATGAGCGTCAGGATCTGATCTTGCTTGGCAACCTCAGCTTTTCCCTTCAGGTTATGCTTTAATTGGGGAACTTAAGGTAGATTTGGTGGCACTTTACCTGGCTTAGGTGTCTCATGCAGTCCTCCTGTGGAGAGAGCTGCCTGGTTCCATGAGATGCAATGCAAGAAATAAACTTCATTTAACTAGAAGGTCCCAGGGACAGGTAGAAAGCTGGTCATCCCTGGGCAAGACTCCCCATGGGACAAGGTCATGCTCAGCTCTTTCTGGATCTCAGACCAATTTGCTTCTCCGTCCTGGGGTGCTGCTCTGGCTCAGCCTTGAGCTTTTGCTGCCTGCTGGTGCCCCTTTGCTTCAAGGCTCCGCCTTTTCGAGTGTAACCTTTAAAAGTAAAAAATAATACAGCCACAGTCCAAGGCTGAGGGGGCAACGGGTGAGATTAGAGACCTTTAATATCTTTCCTGGCAACTTTGTTCTCTGCCTTCCCTACAGAACAGAGTCAGTGGCAGAGAAGATGCTGACAAACTGGTTCACGTTTCTGCTGTACAAGTTTCTGAAGGTGAGTTTTGGGAAGGGATGGCAACCCTGCATGGGTGTGGGGGTGGTTCCTGCCTCAGAGGGACAGACAGCATGATACCCTGAGCCTGGGCTGACAGTGCTCCTCAGGGGGAGCAGAGATTGTGTCCCAGACCTCCATTCCCATCCTGTGTTACTGAGATGTGATTAGTG